CCTTTATTCTTCCTGTCTTCAGTGCCTTCCGCATCCATCATCTCACATGCCGGACAGGCCTGCTGTTACCCCCGTTTTACAGACGAAGGAACTGAGGCTCCTATAGGTTGTCTTTCTCAAAGCACACTCCATGATAGGCATCTCCTGGGAACTTGTTAGAAATGGACTCTTCGCCAGGTGCGGTGGCTCACGCCTATAATCCCAGCACTGTGGGAGGCCAAGGCAGGTGGATCACGAGGTCAGGAATTCAAGACTAGCCGGGCCAAGATGGTGAAACCCCATCTCTACTAAAACTACAAAAATTAGTCAGGTATGGTGGCAGGTGCCTGTAATCCCAGCTACTTGGTAGGCTGAGGCAGGAGAATTGCTTCAACCTGGGCAGCAGAGGTTGCAGTGAACAGAGCTTGCGCCACTGCACTCCAGCCTGGGTGACAGAGTGAGACTCCATCTCAAAAAAAGAAAAAGGAAAAAAAAATGGACTCTTCAGCCCCACTCTGACCTGCTGAATCAGAATCTGCATTTTAACAAGATCCCTAGGTATACTGAGAAGCACCGGGCTGGGATCTACCCGAGGTCTGGGATCAGTCCAAGATTCTTCTTTTTAACAGTGATGCCATATTTTGGGTGGTAAGGACCTAAGAAGTCAGTAGCAAAAGGCCTACTTTCTTGCTTGAGCCCCTGCTTGCTAGCTTGAGAACTCTGTTAAACCATACTTATTTTGCTTGTAGCTACCCAGAGGAAGAGGTGGCTGGCTGTGTTCTCCAAACTTGTGGGACTCCTCAAGGAGTGAAGTCTGATCTACGCACGGAACCAGCCACCACGGCAAAAGAAGAGCGATGGCGCCCCCATGTGGCAACACAAGCACCGCAATTTCACACAAGACCAAATCAGAATTGGCCGGAGGAGAACATCAGATTCTTAGGGAGTGTGACTCCAACTAATGCTATACTCAGGGCGACTTTTTGGAAGGCAAAAGCCCCATAGTCTAGCCATACAACTTTCCAGAAGTGTAACACTCTTCAAAACAGTTGGCATCAAAATTCTTGGCTCTGCCATCCACCCATTCTGAGAGACTCTTTCCTCATCCCCAAAAATGGAAGTTCGGATAAGAGGACTTCAAGAGGAGTTTTACCGTTTTTCCCCTCATTGAAAATAATAGAAAACAATACTGCATTTCCGCCTTCAAGTATTCACTGAGCGCCTTCTCCATTCCCTGTTTCATGCCAGGCTGCAGGCAGGCAGCCGTAACCCAGGCAGAGTCCCTCCTTCAGTTGTGGGATGTAGAAGACAAGGACAGGACCAGTCACAGAGGAAAGACCTTCACTCATGCTGGAGCCTCCTTTACCACCGCATGGGCCCTTTCAACTTTCCTAACCCACACAGCTCACTGGCTCCTCATGGTAACCTCACGGCAACCTCACATGGGTCCTACGAAGCCCCCCGCCAGCACTCCTGAAAGGTGCCCTATAATTGGAACCATCCTTTTGTGGAGTATATACTGACCCAGTTCATCCTTAGAAATGCTTTGCTGGGATTTACATCCTGGAAGCTGGGCCACTGACTGGTCTTCCAACACCATCTGTTTCCAGCTTTCTCTTCTGCAAGCATTAGCTGAGTCTAATTTAAATAATAGATATTTTAAAATACGTTTTAAAGTTCATGTAGAAAAAAAAGTGAGACCTCCAGTATATGGTAAGGGTCTGCTTACTTGTGATAAAAAAAGCACTTGAAGTGCTTTCTGTCCCTCCACTGATCCAGGACTCCAAATCTAACAGTCCACCTGGCCCTTGAAGGATGTAAACCCAGACACACTAGTGAACAGGCCCGATAAAAACACAGCTTTCTGAATTCTTTTCTGTGTTGTTTGAAGCTGGCGAATGCCACTTAGGAAGTAAGAGTAAAGAGTCTCTCTACTCTCCCTGTTCTAATGACGTGTGCTGAAACTGGACGAATAAGGTCAGGATTAGCCTGGCACTTGTTCATGGATATTGAGCAAATCTGGAAAGCATTCTGTATTTTTTTCACATCCTCTGAGGTCTTTCCCTCCCTGATCCTCCAAAAATTTATACCCTCCTTTACCTTCCCAAATGTGCTGCTTATACCTCAACTCGGCCATGTTCCCCATTTGCCTCGTAGACTGATGCTTAAGACGTCACCTCTTTAGCCTCTACACTTCTTGCAGCATCTGCTCAAAATAGTTCACAAAAACAGTGGCATTCCAGGTTAGAGGGTCATGGCCCAGGGCTACCCCAGCCAAAGCCAAGTACATCCAAGGAATGTATTGGCAATTCCAAGACTCCCAATAGTCTCAACTAAGTGGTGGGAACCATCCCCATTTACACACAGGACTGTGGGCACAGGACACTGCCCAACCTCCTTTCTCACAGACTGATGCCTCCTTTCAGAGAGGCCAAGCTTCTTGACCCTCACCTCAAGCCCCTTCAACCCACCCGGCTCCCACCCTCCTGAAGAATCTAACCCTGCTGGCCACTGCCACATCTCACATCTCTAGCTCCCTTCCTCCCAACATGCTTTATGCATCATAACTCCTCTCTGGCAGTTCCTTCTTTCAAAGCTTCTACTTCCTCTTCCTAACACATCCAAACACAAGTCTTCATCTCGTCAACCAGGAACACAACTCCAGCCCCAAAAGCTTCCATCCACACCCACCTGGAGCATCAATGTCTCAACCCCACCCAGGAAAACTTCTCAATCTAAACTCCCACATCTCCAATGACTCCTCAAGACTAGAAGCTCCACATGTACAATCATATCCTGTATTCTAGGTTTGAAACCTTGGAGCCATTCTTCTTAAAACACACTTCTAGTTTTCTTAACATTATAAAATTCCTAAATGCTTTTATTAGTGACAGGAGGTGGTGGGGGGTGGGGGCGTGTCTCCCCATGTTGCCCAGGCTGGTTTTGAACTCCTGGACTCAAGAAATCCTCCCAACTTGGCTGGGATTACAGGCATGAGCCACCATGCCTGGCCCTAAATGCTTATTGTAGAAATCTTTCAGGCCAGGCACGGTGGCTCACGCCTGTAATCCCAGCACTTTGGGAGGCTGAGGCGGGTGGATCACGAGGTCAGGAGATTGAGACCATCCTGGTTAACATGGTAAAACCCTGTCTCTACCAAAAATACAAAAAAATTAGCCAGGTGTGGTGGCGGGCGCCTATAGTCCCAGCTACTCGGGAGGCTGAGGCAGGAGAATGGCATGAACCTAGGAAGCGGAGCTTGCAGTGAGCCTCTCGAGATTGTGCCACTGCACTCCAGCCTGGGTGACAGAGCAAGACTCTGTCTCAAAAAAAAAAAAAAAAGAAATCTACAATCACCCACAATCCCACCCTAAAAACCACTTCATCTGGGAAAATCATTCTGGCTTTTTTATTGCAAACCCATTTAATGTTATTTCTAAACATGAGAAGCTATGTAGTTTTATAACCTACATTCTTGTGTAAAAATGTAGGCCAGGCATGGTGGCTCACACCTGTAATCCCGGCACTTTGGGAGGTCAAGGCGGGCGGATCACAAGGTCAGAAGTTCAAGACCAGCCTGGCCAATACAATGAAACCCCGTCTCTACTAAAAATACAAAAATTAGCCATGCGCGGTGGCGCATGCCTGTAGTCCGTTACTCAGGAGGCTGAGGCAGAAGAATCACTTGAACCCGGGAGGCAGAGGCTGCAGTAAGCCAAGATCCCGCCACTGCACTCCAGCCTGGGCGACAAAGTGAGACTCCATCTAAAATAATAATAATACACACCTTTCTGTTAAAGCCACTTGAAATTATTGAAATAGATCAAGTGTACATATAAGTACACTATCAAAAGTCAGATCAAGAAAGAAGGATCACCAAGTCTCACATCATCTTGTCACTACTCCACAAAGAGTAACTACTATCCCAACTTCTAAAGCATGGTTTTGAGCTGGAACCATGCTTACATCTTCCCTCTTCCTGCAGGTACCAAAACCAGCCATTTTCCCCTTCATCTGGCTGTCCCCTCAAAGATGCACCAAGTCCCACTACCTCCAACATCCCCCAGGCTCCCTGTGCCCCCGCAAAACAGCTCCCACTGCCCCACAACAGAACCCTGATCTCTCAGCCCCCCACCTTTTATGGAGACAGGGTATCACTTTATCACTCCAGCTGGAGTTGCAAGGGCGCAATCTTGGTTCACTGCAGCTTTGACCACCTGGGCTCAAGTGATCCTCCTACCTCAGCCCCCCAAGTAGCTGGAATCACAGGTGCACACCACCACACCCAGCTATCTCAGCTCTTTCTACCACATCTAACAAGTCCCCTACACAAACCACTTAAATGTTCAAACCTACTAGAGACACATTTCTTAAGACACGTGGCTACAATAGGCCCTGTTGGTAGGCCCTGGCAGGTAAGCCGCTCCTACAGCCAGAGGACTAGGACTGTGTAAGGGGCATGACCCAGGGAACAAGACCCCGACCCCTCCTCATCTAGACCCATGCCTTCTCCAATTAAGGTCTTTTTCACTGGCTTCATGCCCTTTAAACACCCATCACCACCATATATATACACTAACACACATTCCACACAGCCACACCACATATCCAGTGGCCGCAACTGTTCTAGGACTCTGGGCCATGCTGTTCTTTGGCCAGGTATCAGTCCTAGCACTTACCTTTATGCCATAACCCCCACCTTCTGCTAACAAAACCCTCAAAGTAAGGCCCAGTCACAGGAGCAAGACAAGGATTCCTAACACCAAAGGAACTGGGCCAAGACTCAACTGGAGTACAGAAAAATCAGCAACATTTTCTTACAAAGTAGGCAGTGCTTCAGCTGTCACTCTTCAGGCTGGAGGTCTTCAACAGATGCTAAGTGAAATTTAGCTCAGGGGGTTCCTACTCCTAGAGAATGTTATTATTGAAAACACACACCTCGCCCCGCCCACACACACACCCCCACACACACCCACACCCACACACACCCAGCAGCCTTCATTATGGAATTAAGGAAACCATTCAAGTGTAAGACAGGTTTACTTTATTAGTTTTTCCTAAACTTGTCTCATGTTTACTGAATGATTTTCTTAGTGTAAGAATGTGACCTGGAGCTTTAACAAATCAGTTTGGATAACGCAACCTGGATAAATGCTTGTCTCTACACAAGCCATCAATTACCACTCTCTGTCCTGGCCTCCATGAAAATCCAACTGGTCTTAAAGTCTGTCTAAGCAGAGAGCAAGTAGACCACATCATCTTGTTTCAACTTCAAATTCACCCCATCCCAACACCCACACCCTTCCCCCACCACACACACACACCAAAAAAAAAAACAAAAACAATTTTTTTTTTTTTTTTTTAAAGAAGAAATGGCCATTAAGGACTTGGCCAGTTGTACAAGGGTTGGCTTAATCCTGCAGCCAGCACTTTTAAAATAGCTATTGGCTTCACAGCAGGCCAGCTGGAACTCTTGAAGCATGACAGGTAGAGAACAGAGATGTGCTAAGAACAGGGCCTTGTTGCGGTGCCACGAGGCTTCCATGCGTGCTTACACACCAGTGTAAGTATACTTTCCCCTTCCTCCTCCTAAGCAATTTTTCTCTGTAGCACTTGAGAGCCTGTAACACTCAAACTTTTCGATGTATCTAGAGATGGACAAACGCTTAATTCTAACTATGCAACATATCATCTTATTTCTAACAACATAGGCCAAAAGTAACAGAGAGGCACTCTGTTATACAGAATATCAATTTTTACAAAGATCCAAAACATTACCAACAAGTCTTTTAAGTTTCTTAAAGCAGGTACCAACTCTGGCCTCAAACACAGGCTTCCCTTGGAGTTTCCAAAATGCCTCACTCCTGTCAACACTGCCCCAAAAAGCAGTCAGAGGAATGCTTTGGTATACCTGACACTGGCCACACAGTTAAGAATGAGGTGTTGTTATAACATCAGGCACCACACTTCTTTAACACTAATTTCAGACTCATCCAGTACAATCCAGTGTATCTTAGTTTTTTTCTATCATCTGTCAGCTGCTTAACATGTACAAATTGGCAGGTTCATGATAGGTATTAACACAACACACAAGTGATTGTGAATGAGCTAAAAAGAACTTTTAACTCTTGTCCTAGGAGTTCAAGCTATACCTCAAAATTATACAGAACATCTCCCACCTGAATAAACAGGCCAGGATACAAATCTTTACACCAAAATTAACAAGGATTTAATTCCTCAGTTAAATTTACCATGGCTATCTCCAACAGTATATCTACCCAATTCTAATCTTCTGAAAATTATTTAGACCCTGATGATTGGGGTATTCGTGAACAAACTTTCAGAAAGAGCCTCCAGGTTTAAAGCCCTCAGTTAACAACTTACTCTAGGCAAGGGGGTCTATTTTCCCAAGAGAAGTACATGGCATTTATAATGGGAGCCCTTTTATTGGGAGATAGGGAACAGAACACAGGTGAGGGTGAAGGTGAAATATGAAGACGTTCAGAGCACACCTTTGTTCCTCTCCCGTGTTAATCCATGCTGTGCCATGCTCCAACCCTCACAAAGAGGGAGACCCCATCCCCACACCAGGCAGGGAGCCTTTAGAGCTATCTCCACAACAGATTTTTAAAGCATAATTAGAGCTCCTGCCATGTAAGTCATAATGAAAAGTCTGCTGGATAGCTAGAGCTGTAGCTATAGCTCAACTTTCCAAAACAAACTTATTCTTGTAGACACATGGTTAAACATAAAGGAGTGAAGCATTAGCTCAGTAAGACTAACTGGGCTTCTAAATAGTACCATTATGAAAAAGATACAATGCACTTAATTTCTGTATCTAACTATTTAGAAGTCAAAATGCTCCATACATTACCTATTTCCCCTCCCCGAAAATCCCCTAAAAACTGACTAAGAAATCTTCAGTATTCACTTGCTCTAGCTGATATTTAGAACAAAGTTGACAACTTAAAGCTTTATAATAGTCTGTTTTAATAGAAACAAGTGTTGGAATCAATCAATGTCCATCTCAGGAAGCTTCTTGTCTGACTCCGAAGGCACAGCTGTGTCTGTACCCTGCTCAGCAGCCTGGGGACCTGGGTTGTCTCCTTGTCCATCCACTGGTCCATTCTGCTCTGCATTTTTTTGTTCCTCTTTTGGAGGTTCCACTTTGGGTTTAGGCTTTGAAATTATAGGGCTACAAATACTTGTCAGCTCCTGGAATGGGTAAGAAAGAAAACCGTGGTTTCTTATAAAATTAACAAATTTTACAAGACATGCTAAACCCAAATCCACCCTCTCCCACCACCCAATCCTCAACCTAGAAGCTAAGACACTATAATAAAGTTCCCTCCTAAATGTCACTTGAGGACTATTAATAATAAGGCTGTCAAGAAAAGACTATTTTAAAAAGTCTTAAATTACCTTAATTTTAGCTTCAATCTCTTTTGACTTGACAACTGGATCCATGGTCAAACTCTGCTTGTTCTGCAGATTTAGCTTGTTATTCATCCACTCCATTGCCTCATTTGTGCTTTTTTCTACCTTCGTCATGTCAGCAGCATCCAAATGATCATACTGGTCCTCCTGCAACCAGGAGATAGTCAGACAAGTGCTAAAAGGGTGATATCCTCCCTCCCAGCAAATATTGTCTAGTTTCTGCCATTTTTCAAAAACTTATAATCTTTCAAAAAATAAAGCATATTTAGCCTCACAATCTGAACAGACATTATTCAAAAGAAACCTAATCCCAATTTTTTAATACACTCAGGATAGATTTAAATTTTAAAGGCCAAGAAAATTCATAAGGTATCAATTAAAAGGCTTCAACAAGATAAACAGCAGTACCTGATTTATACAAAATCTTATGAAGATAATTTCACAATGCAAAAAAATTACATTAGATATGACAGCTGAAGTTTCAGCATGCTAGTTTGGAACCAAAACTATAATTAATACTGTTTTTAAAAGAAGGCCTTTCATGTGAACCTGGGAGGCAGAGCTTGCAGTGAGCCAAGATCACGCCACTGCACTCTAGCTTGGGCAACAGAGCGAGACTCCGTCCCCAAAAAAAAAAAAAAAAGAAGAAGGCCTTTCAGGCTGGGTGTGGTGGCTCACGCTTGTCATCTTAGCACTTTGGGAGGCTGAGGCAGGAGGATCACTTAAGCCCATAACTTCAAGACCTGGGCAACACGATGAGCCCGTCTCTACAAAAAATACAAAAATTAGCCAGGCATGAGGGCCACATGCCTGTAGTCCCAGCTACTCAGGAGGCTGAGGCAGGAAGGTCACTTGAGCTCAGGAGGCTGAGGATGCAGTGAGCTACGATCACACCACTGCACTTGAGCATGGGCAACAGACTGAGACCCTGTTTCACAAAAAAGAAGAAAAAAAAAAAAAAGGCGGGGCCTGATGGCTAATGCCTGTAATCGTAGCACTTTGGGAGGTCGAAGTGGGTGGATCATTTGAGCTCAGGAGTTCAAGACCAGCTTGGGTAACATGGTGAAATGACATCTCAAAAAAAAAAAAAAGACAACCCCAGTTGGGCGTGGTGGTACATGCCTACAGTCCCAACTACTGAGAAAGTAGCTGAGGCAAGAGAACTGCTTGAGCCAGAGAGGTTGAGGCTGCAGTGAGCCGAGATTTCACCACTGCACCCCAGCCTGGGTGACAAAGTGAGAACTTGTCAAAAAAAAAAAAAAAAACCACAAAAGCTCAATTTATCACTCAAAGTTTCTTACACTAACAATATGTCAAGAACCTGGGGTATAATGGAGGAACTTTATACTCCAAAGTCTGAACTTTGGAGTCAGACTTCTGGCTAAATGACAGTTCTCCCAATTTAGTGACCCTGAATGTTGCTTAAGGAAAATGAGGCTTAAATAAGTTGGAATTTATCTATATATGTTGATACCACCCCCTACCTTATAAAGGTACTGTGTGCATAATTACTGGGCCTCAGGTGTTCTTAGAAAGACCAGGATAGAGCATGTTAAGTCAAACACTAATGAAAAGGAAACTGAACAACACTGTTCAATTTCAGATTCCACCTATTAAAGAGATACAGCAAATCCTATGGTTCTTATTAAGATGTTATAAAACATTCCACATTACGTTAATATACAAAATAAAAAGTGCTATTAAACAAGTTAATGAGAACAAGAGAAAAAAATGCTATGTAAATGCCTCAGAAGTTAACTTTAAAGGCCAGGAGCAGTGGCTCACGCCTATAATACCAGTCAGCACTTTGGGAGGCCAAGGCAGGTGGATCACTTGAGGTCAGGAGTTCAAGACCAGCCTGGCCAACATGGCAAAACCCCATCTCTACTAAAAATACAAAAATGCGCTGGGCGTCATGACGCATGCCTGTAATCCCAGCTACTTGGGAAGCTGAGGCAGGAGAATTCGCTTAAACCCAGGAGATGGAGGTTGCAGTGAGCCGAGATTGTGCCACTGCAGTCCAGCATGGGCAACAGAGCAAGACTCCGTCTCAAAAAAAAAAAGAAGTTAACTTCACTAAAATAAGAGTAGGAAAAAGAAAAAAAGTTACCTTGTTTTTGAAAGAGCTGATTATTTTCATATACTGTTGGATCTGTTTCCCTAGTTCTTCAAATAATTTTGGTCGTTCTTCAGATTCCTGGAACCGTATCTTAATAGGTTGACCTAGATTCTTAACAAAAGAATACACAAAGTCTTCATACGGCAGTTCGACGATCCAGAGTACTGATTCCGCTAAGATTGGTGATAAAGTACATTTAATCTCCGTGTGCTACATATAAGAAGTTAAATATATTTCTCCAGGCCTTTGGAAGTATGAAGCTACTTCAGGAGGGGAATGAGACTGTTCTATGTGGAATCGCTTCAATTTGTCACCTGAGCCCTTATTCTCAAAACACAGCAGGGAGACCACCAAAAATTAGGTGCCGCCTAATATAGATACACAGTACTAAATATAAAGTATACTTGCCAAAAATAAAAAATGCTTTAATTTAAAATTTTAAACACCTGAATCTGATGGAGCCTCTAAATGTAACCATCAACTTGACAAATAATATTAAATACCACCATGGAGGTGAAAATCAGCAAAATCCAACTACAGGAAGATCCTACAGGACCAATGATCCAATTTCCTCATAAAATAAATAAGGAACGGGTGGGGCAACACGGGGAAATGATGGAAGAAGAACTATAGACACAGTTATAAGCAACATCAATAAAATCTATGAGCCTTATATGGATACTAATTCAAACACAAAAATCATTTATGAAATAACTGGAACTTGATAACTTAATACAACAGCGATATTAAGAAATGCTTGGTCAGGTTCCACGGCTCATGCCTGTAATCCCAGCACTTTGGGAGACCAAGGCAGGAGAATTGCTTGAGTCCAGGAGTTCCCATGCCAGTCGGGGCAACACAGGGAGACCCTTTCCCTACAAAAAAATTAAAACAGCCAGGCGTGATGGCACACAGCTGTAATCCTAGCTACTTGGGAGACTGAGGCAGAAGGACCGCTTGAGCATGAGGTCGAGGCTGCAGTGAGCCATGACCACACCACTGAACTCCAGCCTGAGTGACAGAGTGAGACTCAAAATGGCCCAGTTCCACAAGAAAGTAATCCAGAGCTAAAATTAAAGAGAAATGTGAAAAGTTCATTCTTGTGCATCTGCAACCTTTTCCAAACAAACGGCCTCAATTTTATGTAATTCTTTGCATTTTTAATCCTAATGTTAAAAGATGAGATGCTTTAAATACAAAACCAGATGCTGTGGCCAGGCGTGGTGGCTTCACACCTATAATTTCAGCACTTTGGGAGGCCAAGCCAAGCAGATCACTTGAAGTTAGGGGTTCGAGACAGCCTGGCCAACATGGTGAAACCCCGTCTCTACTAAAAATACAAAAATTAGCTTGGCATAGTGGCACATGCCTGTAATCCCAGCTACTCTGGAGGCTGAAGCCTAAGAATCCCTTGAATCCAGGAGATAGAGGTTGCAGTGAGCTGAGACTGCGCCACTGCACTCCAGCCTGGGTGACAGAGGAAGACTCTGTCTTATAAAAAAAAGAAAACCCACCAGATGCTTTGCTTTTACTGAGAATCCAAACTACATAAACAGAAACAGCCCTGCCCCAACTGCATTCCCTGTGCCTTTAGGGCAGGTACTAAGTCTTGCTAGTCTTTGTATCTCTTGACACCAAGAATGCACTAGACATCCAATTCAGTGAAGTATTATAAACCTAAACTCAATTTTCAGAAAAATCATTTTGTTATTACAAGGTTCTAAAAGTGAGAATGACAATGAGCCTAAGTCATAAAGGGTTTAGTTAATCAAACATCATTTTCAGTCTGTCTTCTTTACTTGAGAATTCCTCCCAAATCTGAGGTCCTCAGAGGAAGCCTCAACAAGGGTTCTGGATACCCCTACTCTCAAGAGTCACTTACTTTTAATTCAGCCAACTTATCGACATAAACTTGCTTTGGCTGGTCTTCTCCATCCTCATACAACCAATTTTCAGTATCTTCTAGTTTCAAAGTAAAACTGTTACGATCCTAATGATAAAGAAAATATTATAATTAGGTCATTCAAAAATTACATCCCAAATACAGTCAGAGGCATAGAATATAATGATGTATCTGGGATTTGCTTTAAAATACGGACGGCAGCCAGGCGCGGTGGCTCACACTTGTAATCCCAGCACTTTGGGAGGCTAAGGCACGTGGATCACCTGAGGTCAGGAGTTCGAGAACAGCCTGGCCAACATGGTGAAACCCTGTCTCCATTAAAAATACAAAAAAAATTACCTGGGCATGATGGCGGACACCTGTAATCCCAGCTACTAGAAAGGCTGAAGCAGGGGAATGGCTTGAACTCAGGGGGCGGAGGTTGCAGTGACCAAGATGGGGCCACTTGCACTCCAGCCTGGGCAACAGAGCAATACTCCATTTCAAAAAAAATAAAATAAGATAAAATACTGGGGGAGGAAGGAGATGGGAGACATAGAAAACAAGGCTGGCAAATGTTGGTCCACTTGATAGGTATGGGGGGTTTTATTATATTATTCTCTCTGCCGTGGAAGACTTTGGATAAGTTTAAAAATTTCAGAATTAAAAACTGCATTTAAAAGCAAGTGTGGCCGGGAAAAGTGGCTCATGCCTGTAATCCCAGCACTTTGGGAGACTGAGGTAGATGGATCATCTGAGGTAAGGACTAGCCTGGCCAACATGGTGAAACCCCGTCTCTACTAAAAATACAAAAATCAGCCAAGCATGGTGGAGCACGCCTGTAGTCCCAGCTACTAGGGAGACTGAGGCAGGAGAATCGCTTGAACCAGGGAGACGGAAGTTACAGTGAGCCAACATCATGCCATTGTACTCCAGCCTGGGCAACAAGACCGAAACTCCATTTCAAAAAAATTAAAAAATAATAACAACTGAGTTAAGTACCCATCAACCAATGAGTAAATAAAGCAATAGTAGTAGGCTGGGCGCAATGGCTCATGCTGGTAATCCCAGCACTCTGGGAGGCCGAGGCAGGCAGATCACGAGGTGAGGAGATCAAGACCACCCTGGCTAACATGGTGAAACCCCATCTCTACTAAAAAAACACACAAAAAAAATTAGCCGGGCTCAGTGGTGAACACTGTAGTCCCAGCTACTCGGGAGGCTGAGGCAGAAGAATGGCATGAACCCAAGAGGCAGAGCTTGCAGTGAGCCAAGATCGTGTCACCGCACTCCAGCCTGGGCAACAGAGCAAGACTCTGTCTCAAAAAAAAAAAAAAAAAAAGAAAACATGGTATACACACCACGGAATACTACTGAGTCATAAAAAGGAGCAAAGTAATGTCTTTTGCAGCAACTGGATGGAGCTGGAGGCCATTATTCTAAGTGAAGTAACTTGGGAATGGAAAACCAAATACTGTTATGTTTTCACTTATAAGTAGGAGCTAAGCTATGGGTACCCAGGAGCATACACAGTAATATAATGGACTTTGGAGACTCAAAAGCGGGAGGACAGAAGTAGGGTGTGGGATAAAAAAACTACATCTTGGGTACAACGTACAGGACATGGATGACAGGTGCACCAAAATCTCAGAATTCACCACTATATAATTCATCCATGTAACCAAAAACCACCTGAACCCAAGAGCTATTGAAATTTTTTTTTTTTTTTTTTTTTTTTTACAATAAACAAGAAAAAGTGAGCTTTAACAATTTAAAGAAAAATACAGGCCGGGCGCAGTGGCTCACGCCTGTAATCCCAACACTTTGGGAGGCCAAGGCAGGCGGATCACCTGAGGTCAGGAGTTAAGAGACCAGCCTGACCAACATGGAGAAACCCCATCTCTACTAAAAATACAAAATTAGCCAGGTGTGGTGGCGCATGCCTGTAATCCCAGCTACTCAGGAGGCTGAGGCAGGAGAATTGCTTGAAGCTGGGAGGCGGAGGCTGCAGTGAGCCGAGATCGTGCCATTGCACTCCAGCCTGGGCAACAAGAGCAAAACTCTGTCTCAAAAAAAAAAAGAAATAAAGAAAGAAAAGAAAAATAGCAGATAAATAACAATATTCGAATGTGTCAAAAGTGATTTGTGAACATGATGCACAAAGACCAAACTTTGCAAAACACTGTGCTAATAGACAAATATATAAAATTTTGCGCCCCCCCAAAAAAACTTTTTAATAATTCTATTATACACATATAGCTGCAGATTTCCCTTCTAACCCATTTAAAGATGTTCACAGAAGACACACAGTAGTTAGGCATATTGCGGCAGACTTACATCTTCACTCACAAACTTCTCATATTCACCACTAAGCTTGTCTCTCATTTCATATACATATTCCTCCACTGCATTCTTAGCATCATTCCGCTCCTTCTCCAATTTATCCTGCATGATCATCTTACCCTGAGAATAAATATTATGTATAAATTAATTAGACATTAGGACAACCGAAATCATTTCCTCTTAAATACCAATATAATTATAAAAGTAGAGCCGGATGCGGTGGCTCACGCCTGTAATCCCAGCACTTTGGAGGCCAAGGCAGGTGGATCACGAGGTCAAGAGATCAAGACCATCCTGGCTAACATGGTGAAACCCCGTCTCTACTAAAAATACAAAAAATTAACCGGGCGTGGTGGTGGGCACCTGTAGTCCCAGCTACGCAGGAGGCTGAGGCAGGAGAATGGCGTGAACCCAGGAGGCGGAGCTTGCAGTGAGCAGAGATCACGCCACTGCACTCCAGCCTGGGCCACAGAGCCAGACTCCATCTCAAAAAAAAAAAAAAAGTAGAGGCTTTCTTCCCCAAATCCTTTTAGTTCTGCAAGTCACATAACAAACGCAAGTGGGAAGACTAATCCTTGACAGACTTTGAATATCAAAAAGAGTTTTGTGGGTGGGATTAAAAAAAAGAACAATAGAAACATCAAGGTATAGACACCCAAAAGCAAAATTAAAGAATTTAAGACAAAGAGAACTTTAAAAACCTCTTGTTTTTAAAACATCTATTAAATGAAAAAACCTATTGTTTTCAATGTCACTAAGTGATATCCTCTGCTGTATTATTTATTATGAGACAACAAAAATCAAATTCATTCATGCAATATAAATGCTGAAGTTTCTATAAGACAAAACTATTCTAAGATCCAGTGGAAACCTGGAAAGAAACCTCATAGACAAAAATTAATTCAATAAATGTGCTCACAAATCCCAAACCTTGCATCTCTCAATAAGAGTTACTATATTTACATACTGACTGGCAACAGAAAGGAATAAGCAAAATACTGCCACCATCAATGCTATGTGATTTCTCCTACTGATCAACTTCCATGACCGCCAACCTCAAATATCCCAATCTCTAGTGAACAAATATACCCACGTATTCAAAAATGAACAATACCTCCCCTACACCAAAGACATTATATGTCAAAATTTTCACAACAGAGCTTCTAGCAATACAGACATATTAGTAACACCATAGAAGAACTGAAATAACATGGGATCTATTGCTTCAACTTGCCCTTAAAATACCATGCAAAAGTCTAAATTATTTTCTCGAGGTCCAAACAATCAAAAATGCATTAAGTCACTCAACGCAGAGTCTGAATACTATAGTAACATTAGTTTGTTAGTAGCTCATTGTTCCAATAGACTTTAAATAACAACCTCATTTTCAATGTACAAGTTGAGCATCTCTCTGTCTATCTGCCATAATAGCTGATTCTCAATTGGCAGGTCCACAGTACTGGTCTTCACTTTTGCCTTCTTGGCTTGGGGTGGTTGGTCCATCTTTTTATCCTTTGATCCAGCTTGAGAGGTCTAAAACAATAGAAATCATTAAGAATAAACACACATACAGACTACCTTAAACATCAAAATGGGTCATGTTTGAAAAGCTGTTTTTGCTTTTTTTACTTCTTTCTCTTTTGATGATGATCTAAGTAACTTAGGACTACCATAACATCTAGAAAATAAAAACTAAGTCAATACGATGAGGTATCTAGAGCAGTCAAATTCATAAAAATGGAATCAGAATAGTGGCTGTCAGGGGATGGGGGAGGGGAATAATGGAAAGTTATTTAATGGGTATAGAGTTTCGGTTTTTCAAGATGAAGTTCTGAAGACTGGTTACACCACAATGTCTATATACTTAACACTACTGAACTGTACATTTAAAAGCAATTAAGATGGTAAATTTTACAAAATACCTCTCTCCTATAATCCCATATCAATATATGATCACTATTAAAAATTTTTCTCCTACTTTTAAACATATAGACATGCAAATGAAGTTAGTGGGGAGAAGGGTATGAAATTTTTACGGATCAGTAACATATTGGTGATTTGATTTCTATACTGTCTATAACTATTTACATTCTCATAAAGAGAAAACTCATTTCACTGCACCCTATCCACAAATGAGAATTCATTTAACATCATCTCACTGTTATTATGACTTTCTTTTAACCTTTTTCAGACACTTACAAGCCATACTTAATTATTTCCTCAAACTGCCTAGTAATATTTTATCCACTGTTCTTTTAGGATTGCAGTGTTTTTTTTCCCCACAAACAACTGACTCTTCTAGTTTGTTTGTTTGAGATGGAGTCTCGCTCTGTAGTCCAGGCTGGAGTGCAACAGCACGATCTCGGCTCACTGCAACCTCTGCCTCCCGGGTTCGAGAGATTCTCCTGCCTCAGCCTCCTGAATAGCTGAGATTACAGGCGCCCACCACTACGCCCAGCTAATTTTTGTATTTTTAGTAGAGATGGGGTTTCGCCATGTTGGCTAGGCTGGTCTCGAACTCCTGACCTTAAGTGATCCACCTGCCTCAGCCTCCCGAAGTGCTGGATTACAGGCGTGAGCTACAGCGACTCTTCTAAGTTTTTTCTAACTGTATTATTTGTCTATATGTAAGTTTGACTGTCAAATATATCCATATCTTTTCCTTTGAGATTACTTATGTTGCTTTCATACTCTGAAAGCCCTTCCTCATCCACAGATTAGAAAAATATTCACTTCAAGCTTTTTCCTTTTCAACTTTGAACCTTAGAATTCATCTGGAATTCAATTTGTTCTATGATAAAGCAAAATTTTAATGTCATTTCCCACCTCCTATCAAACTAACTTAAGTCGGCTGCTGAAATTTATCTATCATTTCTATTTCATTTGCCTTTAGAAGCAATACTATGCAAAAGGCACTTTAGTTTCTGAGCCATCCCAAGGAAGCCTAGATAACTAATACCTCTAGAACCCCCCACAGCTCAAGGGCATTGGGGAAGTGGCTGTCATTTCTCCCTTCTCTTTGCCCACCTTCCACAAACACATAGGAGAACAAGTCTTTGTCTCTGCCACTGCTGCCCCCATCCCACCCAACAACATAAAGGGTCTTCCATCTTGAAAAAGGCCTGACCCAACTAAAGAATCTGTAAGCACCATTTCCTTTCCATTTTCTTTTTTAATATTACTTGCACAGCTAAAGGAAAGCAATTAAATTTTGTTAATTGACATGAAAATATATAACAGACTTAAGCCACTTTAAGGTTCTGTCCAACTTTTTTAAATGCCACATTTAAATTAGAAATTTTTTAAAATCAGAACTTTTTAAAATTAGAAACTCCTAAGATGGCAAGATTATACACTGTAATTTTATAAATAAAAGATATTTTCAATGATAAAATTTAAACATGACAACTAAAAACTAAATAATAGGTTGTAAAGGATTCATTCAAAAATGTTACTACTCTTTTTGAAATAAATACATTATTTACATTATTCACAAAATACATTTAAATCCATTATTCCATGATTTAAAATAACTTAAGATGCAGTCTTGCTCTGTCGCCCAGACTGGAGTACAGTGGCACAATCTAAGCTCACATAACCTCCATCTTCCAGGTTCAAGCAATTCTTATGCCTCAGCCTTCTGGGTGGCTGGGGCTACAGGCATGTACCACCCCACTCGGATAAATTTTGTATTATTAGTAGAGATGGGGTTTCACCGTGTTGGCCATGCTGGTCTCAAACTCCTGACCCCAAGTGATCCACCCACCTCGGCCTCTCAAAGTGCTGGGATTACAGCGTGAGCCACTTAACCAGGCCCCATGCCTTTTTATTAAAAGATGTTATTTTGGCTGGGCACAGTGGCTCGTGCCTGTAATCCCAGGGTGCCGAAGCGGGAGGATCACTTGAGGTCAGGAGTTCGAGACCAGCCTGGCCAACATGGAGAAACGCTGTCCCTACTAAAAATACAAAAATTATCCAGGCGTGATGGTGACCCCTGTAGTCCCAGCTACCCGGGAGGCTGAGACGTAAGAATCACTTGAACATGGGAAGCGGGGGCTGTAGTGAGCCGAGATTACGCCACTGTACTCTAGCCTGGGCAACACAGCTAGAGTACATCTCAAAAAAATAAAAAAATTAAAAATTAAAAGGCATGGATTATTGATAATTTTGAAAAAATTTTCAGTTTCATTATTGTTTATCGGTAATGAATTAAATTATGGGTAGAATGACTTAGTATAAGCCATTCAGAAACCAGCATAAATAAATCACTAGCCTAGTAAAACTAGGCTTCCTGAGTGCTTTCTTCCCATGTATAAACCAGGAGAGAGTTTAAAGGCCATCTTGCAAATAGCACACTACAAATATCACTACAAAATCTTGCTAAAAAAATTGTTCAAATAAATTGAGTTTCTAAGTATAACTATCTTTCAAGACACTGCCCCTCAGTCAAAACCATGTACTTTAAAAAGCCTGCAGTGCATACTCTAAAACACAACTCAGCCGGGCGTGGTGGCTCACACCTGTAATACCAGCACTTTGAGAGGACAAGGCAGGTGGATCACCTGAGGTCAGGAGTTCAAGACCTGCCTAGCCAACACAGTAAAACCCTATCTCTACTAAAAAATACAAAAAAAAATTAGCTGCCATGGTGGTGTGCGTCTGTAATCACAGCTACTCAGTAGGCTGAGGTAGGAGAATTACTTGAACCCGGGAGGTGGAGGTTGCAGCGAGCCGAGATCATGTCATTGCACTACAGCCTGGGCAACAGAGTGAAAGTCTGCCTTTAAAAAAAAAAAAACAAAAACCAAAAACATACAATTCATACCTCCATTTCTTCAGACTCTGCCTTATTTTCTGCTGGTGTCTGTTGCTGTTGTTCTTCAACATGTGGTTCCTCTTGGTCCACTTGCATCTTCTGAAAAACAGGTCAAATTAAATCTTGCAATTAGGAAGACTAAACAACCTTCATCACACATTGACAAAGTCACATGGTTATGAAATTTCTGCTGAATTACCAGCAATCAGAAGGCCTATGCTTAAATTCCAGGTAGGCCACATTACCTATAACACAGAAATTTTCCGCTCCGGATCTTAGTTAATACATCTGTACAATGAGGATAACACTTGCCCTGCTTTACCCTTACATAAAGAAGAATGACTGTGGAACTGCTTTGTACATCATTAAGTACTCACAGTTCACCATGTGGCATCATTTAATACAATCTACAAAATATAACCTGAAGAGAGCATAAGCTTCTCCAGGCTTCCTCAAAGGTATTTTCTCTCAAAAGTTTCAACTTTTTCAAATAGTTCCTAAGTCAGCCTCTCTTCATCCTCAAAAGTATGACCACTGCATGCGCTCGGGGAGGTGAACACGTTAAAATTACAAAGCCTAAGAACAGTGATGAAAGAAGAGGTTTGTGGAGAGCCTGAACCAGTGGCTTCTCAATGCCTGCAACATATTAGAATGACCTGAGAGGCTTTTAAAACTACTGCTACCTGGGTCTCAGCCCAGACCAACTCCAGTAAAATCTGTGGGAATGAAACCCCAGCATTTGTAGTTTTGTTTTCCCAGAGGCAGGGTCACACTCTGTCACCCAGGCTGGAGTGCAGTGGTGTAAACAGGACTCACTGCAGCCTCGACCTCCTAGGCTCACACAATCCTCCTGCCTCAGCCTCCCATGTAGGTGGGACCACAGGTGTGTGCCAGCACACCTGGTTAAATTTTACTTTTAGTAGAGATAAGAGTCTCACTTTGTTGCCCAGGCTGGCCTCAAACTTCTGGGCTCAAGCAGTCTTCCTGCCTCAGGCTCCCAAAGTGCTAGAATCATAGGGAATTTGTAGTTTTATAAAGCTTTGATTCTGATGCACAATAAAGACAACGCCCAGTGCATAATTCCAACAAATGAGTGTACAATCTATTCTACTTTTGAAAATAATTAACTGAGACTCAGAGCATTCAATAACCAGAATCAAGAATAACTCAAGTTGAGAAGTATAAGATCTGAAAGGAGAAATCAACTGTGTTCCATTTCTATACAAATTCTGCATAAAAATCTACTGCTGGTCCACTTATATTGGGGAAAGGGCAAACATAAATCCACTCTCACTCAGCAGCTCTGTCACAATGCTCCTCCCTTGCTACCAAGTCTACTTGCTATAATTTCTAGCCAAGTCACCTCTGGGCCATCACAAATGGTATACAATGTCTAGATTACCTCTTCCTCCTTTGCATTCTGATCTGTTTCCATTGGCTCCTCATTTTCCTCAGATTTGTGAACCTCCACTAAGGATGCACTGGACACACTGAAAATGCCATGGACATTTACTCGAACTTTGACTTTCACTTTTGAACTGGAGCCATCAGACTGAGGAGTGACTTTCTGAACTGAAAACTGAGCTAGGGACATACGAGAGACAAAAGAACACATAACCTAAGAGGATGAATTCAAGCATGAATATATGCCTACACTGTTACATTATGTCTACTTTTCAATGATAGCTCAGTAACATGATGCTTAAAATAAGCAAAATGGGTCCTCTTAGAATCTTATTAAATCATCAGATTTCTTTCTTCTTTCAGTCTCTTATTATCCTGCCCCAATTAAGAACTCAAATGTCTCCCAATTCTTTCCTTTCTTCCAATTTCTTTCTATTTATCTTTAAATGGTACTTTCAGATTAATTCCTAAAACATATTTGTCACATTCTGTACTGAAAAAACAAAACAGAAAAAAAAATGATTCCACACTGCTTGTCATTTCTCAGTAAATTGCCATTTCTAGATCCAGTTACTGTACAAGCATTTTATTTACATTTTCTTCATTCCCAGAACTCTGAAAAGTATGAATTATCACTGTTATTCCTGGTTTTACAGATTTACAGATGGGGAAAACAGAATAGGTTAACTTTCCACAGCTTCTAAATGCCAGATACTCCTAATTCTTTACCCATATATTCTAGGTCTTTATAGTATAACTAGTTTCTCTCTCTCTTCTCAACTAGTATTATTTCCAGAGTTTCTCAGAGTCTATAAATACTCTAGATAACACGGTTCTGAAACCTAGGATGCTTTGATATTGTATCACCATCTCCTAATGATTTTCTGTATACTTTTTTTTTTTTTTTTTTGAGACGGAGTCTCGCTCTGTCGCCCAGGGTGGTGTGCAGTGGCATGATCTCGGCTCACTGCAAGCTCTGCCTCCCGGGTTCACACCATTCTCCTGCCTCAGACTCCCAAGTAGCTGGGACTACAGGCATCCACCGGCATGCCTGGCTAATTTTTTTTTGTATTTTTTTAGTAGACACCAGGTTTCACCGTGTTAGCCAGGATGCTCTCGATCTTCTGACCTTGTGATCTGCCAACCTAGGCCTCCCAAAGCACTGGGATTATAGGCATGAGCCACCACGCCTGGCGATTTTCTGTATACATCTTATAACTGTATGTTAGGGTCCAAATTGAATTTCGTTAATTCCTTACAGTATACAGCCCCACCTTATACACAAGTTGTAACTACAATGTGCGTTAACCAAGAAAAACTGCCAATACGATGGGAGATCCAATTAAATAATAGCCATTTGGCTGGTTCTAAACCTGTTAACGAGACTGGAAGAGGTTTTCTTTTGTAATCTAAAGCCTCTAAATTTCAGAATACCGTACTTGTTCTTTCTACTACGCCAACTCTCCAAGTAGATAACTTTTTTTTTTTTTCCTCCCCAAATGGAGACAGGGTCCCACTACATTGCCCACTACGTGATCTCGAACTCCTCGGCTCAAGTGATCCTCCCACCTTAGCCTTCCAAAGTGTTGGGATTACAGCTGTGAGCCACTGTGCCTTTTTTTTCTTTAAATTCCCAACTCTTACCTATAGCAGGATCTGGATAAGGCAAATCCTGAGGAGAGCTGTAGTAGGCCTCAAGAGTGAAAGGTTCCTTTCTATAAAATGTAAGGACTTTAGAGAAAGGAGCAGCATGATTTTTGGAAAAGACTTCACAGTCACTGAATGGAGGAAAAAGACAAAAACACAAATTCAGGATATTCCTAACACTTTTACCCATGTGTTCTAGGTTTGTAATTATTGTATAGTGTTAGTTTCTCTCTCTTTTCAAATGGCATTATTTCCAGATTATAAGAGTTCCCAAGAATCTTTATATATAAAGTCAGTAAAAAAAGGAAATACGTCAATCTGCACATAAAAGGCACCAAGGATTTCAGCAGAATCAAGTGTGATAAACTAAATATGGACACAAATTTATTCTGACTAAAATAAATGATCACTTTCCTTCATGCACTATGATAAAATGTTACGGATTTATGTAAACTGAAATGAAGAGCAACATATTACTCAGATCTAATAGTCAACTTTAGGTATATAAATGATTGATAAACATGATACCTTGACCCTTCTTCAGCTGGAGAATTCCATCTCAGAGATATTGGATATGGTACTACATCAGTGATAGAAAATTCTCTGACTTTGAAAGCAGGCGATAAGATGGCGCACTAGAATAATTTTCAAAAATTCCATTTAACAAGTATAGACATTATAAACTGAATAATATCACTAAACCTACAAATGACTTCAGAAATCAATGGTCTTTTAAAAATATTTACATTAGTAATTTAATGGTGTCTGAACAGTTTCACAAACTTCTATCATGTCAATCCCCTATATAATCTAGCTATTCCTTACTATTCCTTATTTTTCTATTAACCCCAACCCTTATTTAATTTCATACAGACATAGGTAACAGGCCAAATTCTAGTCATACTTCAGGCTCAGAGTTACCTACGTTTCTAGTCAATTAATTCATCTTATGTGCTATAGAGTACAATTACTTTTAGGAACATCACCTCTATTTTAAAACAAAGTTTTGGAATCTCAACACCTTGAAATCACCCTGAGCTAACCCCAGGTTATTAGATACATAAACCACTGCCATCTTGTTACCATGATTTATAAACGGTTACCTATAAAAGAAAGAATATTCACCTGCAATGCACAGCCTCGAGTGACAGCTTCATCAGCATTTAATGTTGTACTAAGTTCTTTACCAAAAAATTTGCTGATCTTCTCTTTTACCGCAGGGATTCGTGTAGCACCACCAACTATCTCCACTGCATAAATATCTTCTTTCTTTAACTCTATTTTTAAAGAATTAGACAGATTTTTTTAATTAAACGAAAGAACAGTAACATCTTACCACGATGAAACAACTCAGATGTATAACAAAACTCCTCCACTCCCTCACCCACCTCCACAACACACATATACTCATGCCCACACTCACAGAGGCATGTGGCATCTGGAAACAAGTAGGTGTTTTAATTCTTAAAATAATGGGGGAAGGGTAGCTAGTGGGATTTAGGAAGTGAGGGCCAGGAATACTCAAATGTAATGCAGTGTACAGGTACTGAATTTCTCACACAATATCACACAAAGAAGTGTTAAAACATCAACAGACCAAACAAATATGTTAGCCGTCAGGAAAATAAGAGGGCCTCAAAGCACTGAGTTACTCTGACTTGACATTAAAGGAAAAAAAAAGGAGAATCACATCCAGCTACTCCAGTGTTCTAATCCAACACATAAACATAGTCCACATTAAAACACAGATAGAGGCCAGGCATGGTGGCTCATGCTTGTAATCCCAGTACTTTAGGAGGCCGAAGCGGGCAGATCACCTGAGGTCAGGAGTTCAAAACCAGCCTGGCCAACGTGGTAAAACCCCATCTCCACTAAAAATACAAAAATAAGCCAGACGTGGTGGCGCACGCCTGTAATCCCAGCTACTCAGCAGGCTGAGGGCAGGAAAATTGCCTTAACCCAGGAGGCAGAGGTTGCAGTGAGCTGAGATTGCACCACTGCACTCCAGCCTGGATGACAGAGCAAGACTCCCATCTCAAAAAATAAAAAAAAAATAAAATAAAAAATAAAATACGGGTAGAGTTTCTTCGTATCAGAAAGAAAGAAGGTGTGTATCAATGATCTGCTGTTGCTCATAAAATATTTCTTAATAACACCTGATTTCCTTGTCACATTTTATCTAACAACCATTGATAATTTCTTGAGAAGGGCTATTTAAAGAAATGGCCTTTCCCAATGTGGAAATAAGCCTATCTGCCATCATCACTAATTAAAAAGGAAGGCCTGTGCCAAGCTGACAGTATATCTCAACACTCTGAAATAGCAATCAACGCAACAGTGAAGTGCAGGTAAATTGTTTGTCAAAGATTTTAGGAAAATTAGTATATACTCCTAAATTAGTCACCTTTTACCCTGAGACAAAATTAAAGCATTAAATAAGTATGTGGTTATCCCTTTGCTGCAGCTCTCATCCAGCTAGGGAAGAATTCACTGACAGAAAAGCTTACAAGACTACCGTATCAGCATCGCAAAAGACAATTATTACCACCATTAAATAATTGTGAGGCTTATATCTAACTTTCAGTCTGAATTCAGTGTCTTGGAGAAACTTTTATTAGATTTCCCTAGACGTTTCAAAAGATTACTTTGGGCAGGGGGAAGATACAGATTTTTAAAAAGCTTAATATATACTATTGAATTAGTTCACACAATAAAAATTTGTATCACTGCTTGCAAAGCTAAGATAATAAATAACAATTTCCAAAAAGTCTGAGATACGCAAACGAATTCAATCACAAAAATACTTACTGGTTTGTTCCAAAACACTACGAAGTGGTGGCTCCACTCTAGCTAAGAGATCATTGCACATCTCCAGAAATTTGCCTCTATTAAAAAACATAAAACAAAAACAAAAAAAAACACAGTATATTAAATCACATTCCACTTGTATGTGGAATAGATGGCTATAACAAAAAACAGTTAACAAGTGCTAGCAAAATGTGGAGACACTGGATCCCTCATACATTCCCAGGTAATAGAAAATGAAAATGGTGCAGCCACTTGGGAAAAGTGTTCGGCAGTTCCTCAAGATGTTAGAGAGTTAGCATACGATTCAGCAATTCCATTCTAGGTATACAGCCAAAGAACAGAAAACACATGTTCACACACCAAACTGGTATATCAATGTTCACAAGCAGCCAAAACAACCCAGATGCCTATCAACTGTATGCAGCAATACAAATGAATGAATACAATAAGAGGAACTGATACATATTACAACACATGAAAACACTATGCTGGATTAAAGTCGTCAAACAAGAACACAAATTTATGTGAAATATTCAGAATAGGTATATCCAGAGAAAGGAGACGAGTGGCTACCAATGACTAAAGGGAAGAAGAAGAGATGGGAAGGACAGCTAAAGAGTACAGGGTTTTTCTTTTCTTTTTTTTTTTTTTTGAGACAGGGTCTCACTCTATTGCCCAGACTGGAGTGCAGTGGCACGATCTTGGCTCACTCTCACTGCAACCTCAGTGAGCTCCCAGGCTCAGGTGATTTTCCCACCTTAGCCTCCCAAGTAGCTGGGTCTACAGGCATGCACAACCATGTCTCTTTCTTTTATATTAATATACATTTTTAGGTGTTTTAGGTTTACAGAGAAACGAACATGACAAGAATCTCCATATATCTCCTCCTCAGCCCCAGCCCAGTTCCTCTATTAACATCTTGCATTAGTAAGATACATTTGTTACAATTAATGAGTCAATGGTGATAAATATGATAGTTTCTATCAGTGTTTTGTGAGTTTTAACAATGTGTAAGTATTCACCACTTCAGTAACATACAGAACAATTTCACTGCCCTAAAACTCCCCTGTGCTCCAACTATTCATCCCTCCCTGCTACAAACTCCAGATAACTAACTGTTTTATTGTCTGCCTAGTCTTTTTTTTTTTTTTTTTTTTTTTAAGTAGAAATGGGATTTCACCATATTGGTGAGGGTGGTCTTGAACCCCTGACCTCAAGTGATTCACCCGCCTCGGCCTCCCAAAGTGCTGGGATTACGGGCATGAGCCATCGCACCCGGTCGTCTGCATAGTTTTGCCTTTTCCAAAATGTCATATAGTTGGAATCCAACAGTATATGCAGATTTTTCAAATTGGCTTCTTTTACTTGGCAATATGCATTTAAGGTTCCTCCATGTCTTTTCACAGCCTGATTGCTCACTCATTTAGGGTTTAAGATGTAATGAAAATGTTCTAAAATTTAGTTGTGATGATGGCCGCTGAGCTCTATGAAAACACACACACAAAAAAAAAAATTCTTTTTTTTTAAATCACTGAATTACACACGTTAAAAAGGTGACTTCTAGTTGGGTGCAGTGGCTCACGCCTGTAGTCCCAACACATCAGGAAGCTAAGGCTTGAGCTCAACCAGGAGTACAAGACCAGCCTGGACAACACAGCAAAACCCCATCTCTATAAAACATACAAGAAATTAGCCGGGCATGGTGGCGCACACCTGTAGTGTCAGCTATCCAGGAAGCTGAGGCAGGAGGATCACCCAGACGAGGCTACAGTGAGCCATGATCAAGCCATGGCGCTACGGTGAGCCATGATCAAGCCATGGCACTCCAGCCTGGGCAACAAGGATCCTTTCTCCAAAAAAGCGGGAAAAGGAGGTGACTTTATTAAATTACATCTCAACAAAAAATAGTAGGCTGGGCGTGGTGGCTCACGCCTGTAATCTCAGCCCTTCGGGAGGCCAAGGCAGGTAGATCACCTCAGGTCGGGAGTTTGAGACCAGCCTGACCAACATGGAGAAACCCCGTCTCTACTAAAAATACAAAATTAGCCGGGCACGGTGGCGCATGCCTGTAATCCCAGGTACTTGGGAGACTGAGGCAGGAGAATCGCTTGAACCTGGAAGGCAGAGGTTGCAGTGAGCCAAGATCACGACATTGCACTCCAGTCTTGGCAAAAAGAGTGAAACTAATTTTTGTATTTTTAGAAGAGATGGGGTTTAACCATGTTGGCCAGGCTGGTCTCAAACTCCTGACCTCAGGTGATCCACCCACCTCGGTATACCAAAGTGCTGGGATTACAGGCGTGAGCCACCGCGCCTGGACGGTAGAGGTTTTTTGATAGTTTCTTTTTAAAAAGTTTAATTGCAATACAATTTACATGCTATACAATTACCCATTTAAAGTATGTAATTCCCGTCTGGGTGAGGTGGCTCACACCTGTAATCAGGTGAAGGGTGGCTACGCTCAGGAATTTGAGACCAGCCTGAGCAATATGGCAAAATCCTGCCTCTACAAAAAACACAAAAATTAGCCAGGCATGTCGGTGAACACCTATACTCCCATCTACTTGGGGGGCTGAGGTGGGAGGATCTCTAGAACCTGAGAGATTGAGGCTGCAGTGAGCTAAGATGGTACCACTGCACTCCACATTGCATGACAAAGTGAGAACTTGCCTCAAAAAGAAATAAATAAAATCAAAAAGATAAAAATAAAGATGTAATTATTGACTTTTGGGCATGAGGTTTTGGTACAAAAATATTCTTAAAGTATACAATTCAGTGACTTCATATATACAAAGTTGTGCAAGCATTGCCACAATCAATTTTGAAACATTTTCAGTCTAAAAAAGAACATTTTCATCCCCCTTAACTGTTACTTTCCTCAACTCCCATAGCCCTAGGTAACCACTAAATCTACTTTCTGTCTATAGATTTGCCAATTCTGGGCATTTCATATAAATGGAATCATACAAAATGTGGCCTTTTGTGACTTCTTTCATTAGCACGAACTTTTCAATGTTCATCCATGTTTTAGTATGTATGTGTATTACATTTTTTTCAATTGCCAAAAACATCCCATTGTATGGACAGAGCATGTTTTCTTTACCCACTTCATCAGTTGATGAACATTTGGGTTGTTTCCACTTTTTGGCTATTATGAGCAGTGCGATGAACATTCACATATGAGTTTTTCTGTGGACATGTGTTTCCATTTCTCTTGAATATGTATCTAGAAATACAATTGCTGAATAATGTGATAATTTGATGCGGATTTTTTTGGTTTTGTTTTTGAGAGGGTTTCCCTCTGTCACCCAGGTTGGAGTGCAGTGGCATAATCATGGCTCACTACAGCCTCCATCTCCTGGGATTAAACAATCCTACAACAAAATTAGGTAACGACATATGCCCACAAACCTCAAAATACATATAGGCAGAGACAAACCACCCACAGTTACAATTCCTGCTTAGTACCAGCTCTGTGCAAAATAAACAGAAGGAAACAAAAGGGTATATAATTGGCCTGAAAACTCCAGAATAACCTAACTCAGAGGGCCAAACTGAAAACAGAAGCTGAAATCAGCAGGGGTTGGCATGTTTCAAAACAAGTATAAAAGGCCCTAAAACAAGGTATTCAGGGACCAGAGCAAACTGAGTCCAACCTAAAGTTACCTTCAAAGAAAAAAGAACTACACTGAAGAAAAACTACTGATTAAAAAATCCAAACTAAGCAGGACAACACAGTAAACATACAAGAAGATAAGAGGGAGGGAAAACATCTCAGAAAGTTAAGCCACATTTTTAAAACATTTCACAAAAACAAAAGAGGAACTCACACTTATAAACTCTGCACTTTGAGAGGCAGAGGCGGGTGGATGACTTGAGGTCAGGAGTTCGAGACCAGCCTGGCCAACATGACGAAACCCCATCTCTACTAAAAATACAAAAATTAGCTGGGTGTGGTGGCGAACACTTGTAATTCCAGCTACTCAGGAGGCTGAAGCATAAGAATCATTTGAACCCAGGAGGCAGAGGATGAAGCAAGCCGAGATCATACCACTACACTCCAGCCTAAGTGACCTACTGAGACTCTGTCTCCAAAAAAAAAAAAGAACAGGCAAATCCATAGAGACAGGAAACATACTGGTAATTGCCTAGGGTACGGAGGGAAATGGAGAGTAAATGCTAATGGGTACAAGGTTTCTTTTTGGGACGATAAAAACATTCTAGAATTAAACAGTGGTCACAGTTGCACAACCTTGGAATTGTACACTTTAAAATAGTAAGGTTTTATGGAATGTGAATTATATCTCAATAAAAGTGATACAGGAAATGAAAGAACAAATCAGAATCAGAAAAACCTAATAAGACAGGCAAGGAAGATCCAACATAATTATGTAGGAATTCCCAAAAAAGAAAACCACAACACTACAACAGATAATATAATTCAAGAAAACTTAAGAAAATTTAATTAAACTTAGATTTGTAATGTCAAACTATATAACAAAAAGGCACACTACGTACCTGGAAAAAAACTGATGCAAAATAATCAACATCAAAACATACTGTAGTAAAATTATTGAGCTTTCTTTTTTCTTTTTGAGACAGGGTCTCACTCTCATTATCCTGGCTGGAGTGCAATGTGGTATGATCATGGTTCGCTGCAGCCTCGACTTACTGAGCTCAGGTCATCCTCCCACCTCTGCCTCCCAAATAGCCAGGACTACAAGCGAATGCCACCACATCAGGCTACTTTTTTGTATTTTTAGTAGAGATGAGGTTTTGCCATGTTGCCCAAGCTGGCCTCGAACTCCTGAGCTCAAGCCATCCGCCTGCCTCAACGTCCCAAAGTGCTAGGATTACAGGTGTGCGCCACCACACCCAAAAGGACTTTCAAGAAAAAAAAAAAATCAAAAACATTTGGGCATCTAAGCAAAAAGAACAAGTGACAAATATCTAAAAACTATGCTGTCACACTTTGACAGCAATGTTATACACCAAAAGAAAATAGATTGTTACTGGCTGAACGCGGTGGCTCACACCTGTAATTCCAACATTTTGGGAGGCCGAGGCGGGCGGATCACAAGGTCAGGGGATCGAGACCATCCTGGCTAACACGGTGAAACCCCGTCTCACTAAAAATACAAAAAATTAGCCGGGCATGGTGGCAGGCGCCTGTAGTCCCAGCTACTTGGGAAGCTGAGGCAGGAGAACGGCGTGAACCCAGGAGGCAGAGCTTGCAGTGAGCCAAGATCGTGCCACTGCACTCCAGCCTGGGTGATAGTGCAAGACTCTGTCTCAAAAAAAAAGAAAAAAAAAAAATAGATTGTTTCTGCATTTAAGACACTCAACAAGATGAGAAAAGCTAAGAAGGTTCTATCCAACTACAGTGACTTTTAAGTATAAACATGGCAAATTGTCATCAACATGCAAGAACTTAAGGAACACTATTCACATGTGCTATCCCTTAGGAATCTGCAGGAGAATGCACTTCCAACATCAAAACAATGAATTAACACAAAGCTACTAGTAATCTACTAAAATAATCCAAAAAATTGAAAATAAGTGCTGACAAAGATGTGGAGAAACTGAAACCCAGTACAGTGCTGGTGGGGTAATCACTGAGAAATACAGTTTGGAGATTCCTCAAAAAGTTAAACATAGAACTGCTGTATAAGCCAGCAATTCCACTCCTAGGTATATATGCAAAAGACCCGAAAACACGTACTTGTTCAAAAATGTCCACAGCACTATTCACAATAGCTAAAAAGTAGAAACCCAAATGTTCATCAGCAAACGAATGGATGAATAAACTGCAGTATTATCCATACAAGAAAATAACATCTGCCCAAAAAAAAAAAAAAAATAAAGTACTGATACAGAAAGTGGATGAACCTCAAAAACATTACACTGAGAAGTTAGAACAAAAGAAGTCAGACACATATTACATGACTCCGCTTATATGAAAAATACAGAATATATAAATCCACAGAAACAGAAAACAGGCTGTTGATCACCAGGGACCAGAGGTAAGGGAAAACAAGAAATAATCACCTACTGGGTATGAAGTTTTATTCTGGGGTGACGAAAATGTTTTTCCATTACACAGAGGTGGCCATTGCACAACCCTGTAAATGTACTAAATTCCAGTGAATTGTTTACTTTAAAATACTTAATTTTATGGTACGTGAATTTCACCTCAAGTTTTTTTTAAGTGAAGAAACCATTAATTAAAAGAAATATGCTGTCAAAAAATCCAGTTTCATCAATTTAAACAAAGGTGAATATTAAAGACTAAAAGGCACGGTTATCTCACACCTGTAACCCCAGCACTTTGGGAGGCTGAGGCAGGCAGATCACTTGAGTCCAGGAGTTCAAGACCAGCCTGGGCGACATGGTGAAACCCTGTCTCTACAAAAAATACAAAAATTAGCCAGGCGTGGTGGCATGTGCCTGTCGTCCCAGCTACTCAGGAGGCTGAGGCACGAGGATCATTTGAGCCCAGGAAACAGAGGGTGCAGTGAGCCAAGATCACACCACTACACTCCAGCCTAGGTGACAGAGTAAGATCCTGTCTCAAAAAAGCAACAACAATCACACTAAATGAAGATTATAATGTAGAACACATAAGAGCTATGTATTCTGATGATGTAGATACAGTAGAACTTTTTGGGGTTTTTTTTTTTTTTTTTTGAAGACAGCATCTCACTTTGTTGCCCAAACTAGAGTACAATGGCACGATCTCAGCTCACTGCAACCTCTGTCTCCCAAGTTCAAGCGATTCTCCTGCCTCAGCCTCCCAAGTAGCTGGGATTACAGGCGCCCGCCATCACACCCAGCTAGTTTTTGTATTTTTAGTAAAGACAGAGTTTCACCATGTTGGCTAGGCTGGTCTCAAACTCCTGACCTCAAGTGATCCACCTGCCTCCCAAAGTGCTGGGATTACAGGAGTGAGCCACCACGCCCCACCACAGTACAACTATTTTTATTTTTATTTTTTTTGAGACAGAGTCTCGCTCTGTTACCCAGGCTGGAGTGCAGTGGTGCGATCTCAGCTCACTGCAAGCTACACCTCCCGGGTTCACACCATTCTGCCTCCGCCTCCCCAGCAGTTGGGACTACAGGCGCCCGCCACCACACCCAGCTAATGTTTTGTATTTTTAGTAGAGACGGGGTTTCACCGTGTTAGCCAGGATGGTCTCAATCTCCTGACCTCGTGATCCACCCGCCTCTGCCTCCCAAAGTGCTGGGATTACAGGTGTGAGCCACTGTGCCTGGTCACAACTATTTTTAAAAAACAGCACACAGGCAAATTCAGTTTTTAAAAAATTTGAACTACTTAATAAGTATCTACTTAGCTCTTACAAACGTGTAACATTTCACTAACAATTTCTGAAACATACTGGCTTACCTCCAGACTTCATGGAACACACATACACACACACAAGACTGCTGCTTAACAAAAACGAAAGCCATCTCTTGCAAGTAGGGGGAGAGGTGACTAAAAATTTGGATACAAGGCAACAATAAACACCATTTCAATTTTTTTACGGATAGCTCAGGCACACGTCTCCAAATACACCACCAGTCTTGCCTAAATTCTACCAGTAGAGTTCACAGTCAAAAGAACATCTTACTCCCATCATCCAAGCAACCGAACCAGGCAACAGTAACACTCTGGGTGTTTCTGAGGATAACCCCGAAATGTCAATTACCCAGAATTCTTGCAGCACTATACAAAAAGAGCTGTCACCCTCAAGTGAACCCAATCTTTCAAAAAGAAAAATTTCAGGCTGGGCGCAGTGGCTTACACAGGTAATCCTCGCATTTTGGGAGGCTGAGGCGGGTGGATCACCTGAGGTCAGGAGTTTGAGACCAGCCTGGCCACCATGGCAAAACTCCCTCCCTACTAAAAATACAAAAAGTAGCTGGGCGTGGTGGCAGGCACCTATAACCCCAACTACTCGGGAGGCTGAGGCAGGAGAATCGCTTGAACCCGGGGGCAGAAGTTAGAGTGAGCCGAAGTCGTGCCACTTCACTCCAGCCTGGGCAAAAGAGCAAAAACTCTCTCTCAAAAAAAAAAGAACAATTTCTTAATCACTGGGTAAATTCTTTTCAATTTAATTCTGCATTATAGCCCTTTGACCTGATTTTATGGAAATTTCATGTATGACAAATGCATATGTAAAGAACTACCAACATGTTGGAATATCCAATTAATCAGAACAAATACATTAGTCTACATTATTAGAATAACCAGACCCAACTTTTCATAGAAAGCAGGATCCTGAATGGTTTCTAATTTTTAAAACAGAACCAAAATTATCATATAACCCCCATGATAATTTTAATAACAATTAGTCAATTTAAGGTTAACATATGTAGAGAAAACTCACTGAACATTTTAACATCAAAATAGTAATATACTTACCTATTCATAGTTCCAGATACATCAACATCATTCATAAAACATTCAATGCTCAAAGGGAGATCTGAAGCATTTGCACTCATCAATTTCTTGAGTTTCTCACACTCCTGAGAGAGTCGTAATAATGCACGGATTTTGGACTTAATGTCTAGCTTGTATTTCTTCCCAAATTCTTCACAGAAGTGATTTACTAACACTTCATCAAATTTTCTACCTCCCAATGTTGGGTCAAATGCAGTGGCCAGAACCTCAGGGAAAAAATGAGAATTAATCTAACAATGAACCAATCAATTCTGAAACAGATGGATATATATTTACCCGGTAAGTTGCTTATTTAAAAAAAAAAAAAAAGAGGGAGGGTTACATTAAGGTTAAAACAAGGCAATGTATACATCAGTTAATCCTTATTACGACCACACTGTAAAAATAGGTACTATAATCCCCAATTTACAGATAATGCTACAGACCTAGACAGATGAGATAAACTGCAGTTCACAAAGCTACCAAGTGGTAGAAGTGGAATTCAAAGCCAAATCTCCTTAATTCCAAAGTCCATGCCCTCCCCACTACACCAGTCTGACTCCCAATAGCAGTTACATGTCCAAGGTAAAATATACTAACGTGTCATGTACATACTTCTAGTCTACTCACTATCACAAAACTGAGTAATACCAAAGGCTCAACTCTCTGCAGTTTACTACCAAAGGATTTGTTACAGCCTTAGCTCACAGCAATGTGTTTCTATTTAACCTGGAAGTCTAATTAGCCTGGGTTACCCGTTTTCAAATCTCTAACAGATTAGAAGCAAACTAGATCTAATTAGATTCAGTAATAGAAGTTAGGCTAAATAAGTGATGACATCCTTATGAAGGAATAAAACCAGTAAAAACAAACTCTTCAAAGAATGCTAAACGTCATGGGGGAAATTTTCTTAGTATGTTAAACTGAAAAAAAAAGACAGGACACAGAGCTAAATATAGTGACTCCAATTGTTTTCTTAGAAAACTAGAATGAAATACACCAAGAATGGTAAGATTGTAAGTAACTTTTATTTATTTATTTATTTTTATTTTTATTTTTTTGAGACAGGGTCTCACTCTGTTGCCCAGGCTGGAGTGCAGTGGCACAATCTCAGCTTACTGTAGTCTGAACCATCCAGGCTCAAGCAATCCTCCCACCTCAGCATCCCAAGTAGCTAGGACTACAGGCACACATCACCATATCCAGCTAATTTCTGTATTTTCTTTGTAGAGACAGGGTTTCGCCATGTTGCCCAGGCTCTTCTCAAATTCTGGGCTCAAGCAATTCCCTGACCTCAGCCTCCAGAGTAGCTGGGACTACAGGCACACCACCACACCCAGCTAACTTTTGTAGAGACAGGGTTTCACCATGTTGCCCAGACTTTTCTTTACACATAAGTGTTTTCCAATTTGGGGAGATTTTTGTAATGATTATTTTTGTAATTTAAAAGTAATCAAAAGGATTGGAAAACTGACAGGTAACAGGTGACACTGAAGGACAATTTAGAAAAACAGAAGCAGATGGCTACTAATACTAATACACATCACTCTGATCCAAAGCCAGGCTAAATTATGACCAGAGTCTTCTGTTTAAAAAGATAAAAGCATAGCATAGATCTTAGAAATTCTATTAGTGATTAAAGTTTAAACACTGAGAATTACATTTGGCCCACCACTTATAGCTGTAAAAAAGCAAAATCACAAATCTCTCATTTCCCAATTATCTAAAAGATTCGCTTTCCTTTTATTTAAAAACAAAACCACCTTAAAACAATATAAACCAGAATATAAAGTGGAAATGTCTATTTTTCAAAGAAACAAGATCATAACAAATAAAGTCTCAAAATGCCTCCAAAATTACCAAATATTTAGTTTGGGGTAATCCCTCTCCACCAATCTCCAATGGATACAAGGGGTTCAATTTAGACTTCAGCACCAAGTATTTTAATATGCATTTCAAATAATTAAAGCAAACACTTGAGAAATCCTTGGTTATTCACCAAATTCTAGATAAACTCATCTAGACAGAGAATTTTATACCTTACTGTGGAACTAGCATAAACCAGCAAACTCAACTGTGACAGAGATCACCCTCTGGCCCCTCCTTGCCTTCCATACTTCTGTGTGTACAAAACCGCTTACACTTTAGGCTTTCTAGAAATCTATAATTTCCAGTCCAGTTTGTTTTGGAATCCAAAAGAAACTCCTTTTCCAGAACACTCAAAACCTCAAGAGGACAGAGCACCTGTACCACCCTCTCAATCCCCAGTGTAAAATTCACCAAGGAACTACATGTTAAAAAATCCTCCTGCTGGGCATGGTGGCTCATGCCTATAACCCCAGCACTTTGGGAGGTGAATCACCTCAGCCAAGGCAGGTGGATCACCTCAGCCAAGGCAGGTGGATCACCTCAGGTCAGGAGTTCAAGACCAGCCTGACCAACATGGAGAAACCCCGTCTCTACTAAAAATACAAAATTAGCCAGGCGTGGTGGCACATGCCTGTAATCCCAGCTACTCGGAGGGCTGAGGCAGGAGAACCGCTTTAACCCGGGAGGTGGAGGTTGCAGTGAGCCAAGATCACGCCATTGCACTCCAGCCTGAGCAACAAGAGCAAAACTCTGTCTCAAAAAAAAACAAAAAGAAAGAAAAAAAATCCTCCAAATAACCCTGTAAGGTATGCATTATTTTTCCCATATTGTAAAATGAGAAAAAATAGTTGTCTCTCAAAATTTCATAATTACCATATAGTAACACAGTCTTCCGGGGAAAAGAAAAACATGCTTACTTTCAGTTTTCCTCTATTAAATGCACATACAGAAACTTGATAAGCAGAGTGGCCCATGTCTACAAAAACTACATTTCTTGGTTTCTCTTCTAAGGCAGGAAGATCTTGCTTATAGATTCCATATGCAAGAGCAACTACAGAAGAAAAAACACAAAAATTAAACGTAACAACATCTAAGTAAATAAGATTCATTTAAGCAGGAAAAAAGAGGTTTTATGTATAACGAACGCAACTACATGTGTTATGTTTTAGAAATCAAATTCTTTATAAGCACTATATAATTTATTCAAGAAAAAGATTATCTTCCAAGAGTTAAATACTGACATTCACTTAGACTTCCTTAAAGTTGCCAATGGACTCTAGCACAATTTTCCCCAAGCCATTTCCCCCATTTTCCAAATATATTTTCCTGGATTTCTTCTACCCCTATGCTATGTTTAACATCCCCACATGTTCTGTCCATGAGATGCTGCTTAATATTCCACTCCTCTGACTCTACCAGTCCACAAGTCTAAGAGAAGACCAATCTTTAACTGAAAGCACTGTTCCACACGCTAAGTGTGCTCCTTCCCCAAAAAGCATGTGGTTAAATACCAAAATGCATGCTATAAGGTTACACAAAAAGTACTGGTCAGATTAATTCTTCACAAGTGACACAGTGTCCAAAAACACCATGACACAGGTGGTAAGCAAGAGTAGCAATGCTGAAAGCAAAATAAAGAGCAAGAAACCCTAGAGTTTTAAAATTTCACAATCTTCAATATTAACCAAGTCAAAAAATTAATCAATGGTCCTCCTTACCTGCAGTGGTTTCATTCATTAATCGCAAGCAATTAAGACCAGCAATCTGTGTTGCATCCATCACTGATCGTCTTTCTGCATCAGTATAGAAACAAGGAACCTACAAAAAAAAAAAAAAAAAGAATGTTTACTATATTATAGATTCTAATTTTAGTTAGTAAATTCCAAGAATGCCATCAAATACCTACAGCAATTTATTCTGTATATGATCAAGAAAATATTTCAAACTCGTAGGGAAAAGTTAGCGTATTTAGTGTTAGCGTTAGGATACACAATAGCCATACCATTACCTTACATACACAGATTACATGGCAGACCAAAATACCAACAGCTAAAGTAGTGACTGCAGAGAAGAGTTAATATAGAGGCCAGAAACTGCTATCCTTAGAAAACGCCTGCTTGCATGTTGGTCCTTGCCTGGCATCTAGGATCTTGATTCACAAACAGTTCACTAAATCAACAGAAAAAATTTCCCTAAATGATTAAGAGTGGCTCACTGTACCTAAACTGTTTATACAAAAATGTAGCTTGTGCTGACTACCGGCTTTCCTTCTGGGAATCTCGAATTTTGGTTCATGCTAGGTATAGGGTACCAATGTGACTGACCCCCGATAAAAACCCTGGACTAGCCACGCACGGTGGCTCTTGCCTGTAATCTCAGCACTTTGCGAGGCCGGGGTGGGTGGATTACCTCATGTCAGGAGTTTGAGACTAGCCTGGCCAACATGGTGAAACCCCATCTCTACAAAAAATACAAAAAAAAAAAAAAAAAAAAACCCATAGCTGGGTGTGGTGGCACATGCCTGTAATCCCAGCTACTCTGGAGGCTGAGGCTTGAACCTGGGAGGTGGAAGCTGCAGTGAGCCAAGATCATGCCACTGCACTCCAAGCTGGGAAACAAGAGCGTAACCCAGTCTCAAAAAAAAAAAAAAAACCCTGGACCAGGCTCAGGCAGAACTCCTGTGGTAGAGGACATTTCACCCATATTGTTACAACCTGTTGCTGGAGTTAAGCACATGCTGACTCTGGGAAGCTTGTGCCTGGTTTCCTCCAGACTCTGCCTCATGTGCCTTTTCCCTTTGTTGATTTTGCTTTGTATCCCTTCACTATAATAAATCTTAGCATGAGAATAGCCATATGCGGCCGGGCGCGGTGGCTCATGCCTGTAATCCCAGCACTTTGGGAAGCCTGTAATCCCAGCACTTTGGGAGGCCAAGGCGGGCGGTTCACAAGGTCAGGAGATCGATCATCCTGGCTAACATGATGAAACCTCACCTCTACTAAAAATACAAAAAAATTAGCCAGGCGTGGTGGTGGGTGCCTGTAGTCCCAGCTACTTGGGAGGCTGAGGCGTGAACCTGGGAGGCAGAGCATGCAGTAAGCCGAGATCACGCCACTGCCCTCCAGCCTGGGTGACAGAGCAAGACTCCGTCTCAAAAAAAAAAAACAACACAAAACAAAAAAAGAGAATAGCTATATGCTAGGGCCTGTGAACCCTCCTAAACAAATTACCAAAACTCAAGTGTGATCTTTAGGCCCCGCCCAAACATGACTCTTACCCAAAACCAGAAAAGACACTTAGGCATTCCAATATTTTACATATATTTTACTCCCACACAGAGTGTAATGCAGGAGCAAAGCTAGGGGCACTAGATGGAGGAATGGAAACAAATCTGGGAGACCAATGGAGAGGCGAGGAAAGGTAGGAAACATCTAAGAAATACAGCATCTGGTGTATCAGCCACTGGGGAATCAAGGTCACGGAATCTGAGCTTTTTAAAGGAACATAGCATTTTTATTCTTCTATAAAGAATAAAGCCCATTCCCAGAATGGTGTACACAACTATAATCCAATTCTTTCTGACAAATGTCAATTCTACTTTACGATAACCAAGGACCAAGGAATCCGTCAGGCAACAGACTCTGGGGTGAAAAAGCCACCTAACAGTCCATGCTTTGCCAATCAATGCACCAACATTAAGACAAAAGAGGCCACAAAACTAAAGTATCAGGTAACAATTGCAGAATGAGGAGATTCGGTGCCAAAGCCAATGTAATCATACATATTTCAACAGTCCCTAAGGATTCCGCCATACTAAAGCACAAAGCTACAGCAGCCAGGCTTTCATCTTAACAGAGATATGCAAAAGATAAAGTCAACTGCTGCCATGTCTTTCTGTTTTTTGGATAATTTTTTTGAGACAGGGTCTCACTCTATTGTACAGGCGAGAATGCGGTGGTGTGATCACAGCTCACGGCAGCCTCAAGCTCCTGGGCTCGAATGAGCCTCCCAAGTAGCTGGGACTACAGATGTGCGCCACCACGCTTTTTTTTTTTTTTTTTTTGTAAAGACAGGGATCTCATCATGTTGCCCAGGATTGTCTCAAATGATCCTCCTGCCCTCGCCTCCCACAGTGCTGGGATTAAACCACCAAGCAAAGCCCTTGCCTTTGTCTTTAATGCTAGATACCAACAGCAAATACAAATAGAGAACAAGTGCCATTTACAATTGGGGGTATTCAACTAATTCAACAAATGAGTGACTACCCTGTGCTATGCTAGGCACTATGCTAGGTGGTGAAAAAAATCCAGGAAGAAGTGGGCAGGCTGAGATGAATGTACCTTGAAGAACAGAAGAGATTTAAATAGGCAGAATAACAAAGGAGGCCTGAGCAAAAGCTAAGCAGCAGAAGAGAGTAAGAAAATGAAGACTAGTTTCATAATTCTTTTTTTCTTTGAGACAGAGTTTCGCTCTTGTCATCCAGGCCAAAGTGCAATGGCACCATCTCGGTTCACTGCAACCTCAGCTTCCCAGGTTCAAGCAATTCTCCTGCCTCAGCCTCCCAAGTAGCTGGGATTACAGGTGCCCATCACCACACCCAGCTAATTTTTGTATTTTTAGTAGACATAGAGTTTCACCATGTTGGCCAGGCTGGTCTCAAACTCCTGACCTCAGGTGATCCACCCACCTCGGCCTCCCAAAGTGCTGGGATTACAAGCGTGAGCCACTGCGCCCAGCCTGACAAATTTTTTAAATAACCATTACAACCTGAGACAAAAAACTTTACTTGAAATTAGCAGCTTTCTTCTCTCTGCTTCTTCATGCAAATTCCCAATAATGTATAGGGATCAAACTCACCGAAACAACACAGTCAACTACAGGCTTCTTAAGCACACTTTCGGCTGTCTCCTTCAGTTTGGACAAAAGCATAGCAGTCACTTGCTCAGTGGTAAAATTTCGCTCTTCCTCCATATATGTCACCTGCAAGAAAACAACAAAAACAACAAAGAGGCTTAGACTTATTGTATTTACTTCTTCACGTCCTAGTCCTAAAAGCTAAAATGAATAATGCCTCCCATTATCAACACAACATTATCTCAAGAGGGGGTTGAAAAAAAGCTAGTTTTGCAAGTAATACCTTGAAGGTCACTTTTAGTTTTTTTTTTTTTGGAGGCAAGGTCTCTCTCTGTCTCTCTCTCTCTCTCTCTGGAGTGCAGTGGCATGATCACAGCTCACTGGAGACTTAACTTCCTGGGTTTAAGCAATCCTCCTGCCTCAGCCTCCCAAGTAGCAGGGAGCAAAAGCGCACGTCATCACACCTAGCTAATTTTTTTCTTTTTTTTCCTTGTAGAGACAGGGTTCTTGCTTTGTTGCCGATGCTGGTCTCAAAACTCCTGGCTTCAAGCAATCCTCCTGCCTCGGCCTCCCCAAGTGCTGGGATTACAGGCATGAGCCACCACACCTAGACTATTTTAGCTTTCAACCAAACACGATACTTGGAGATGAAGGACCACAATATAAAACGACAAATCTTAAGAAAAGTTCCTTTGCAAAGGCAAATCAGTGTAGCTCACCATAACCCACACTGTCCCTCCATAAAGAGGCTGCTGGTAGAAACTATTTTACTATCTGACATACTATGTATATTTTAATGTGTTTACTGTTTATTATCCATCTCCACAATTAGGATTCAATCTAATATGAGGACATGCATTTGTCTGACTGTTCACTGCCATAGCTCCAGCACCTAGAACAAGACCTGGCACAATAAATACTGGTTGAATTAAATAATAAAAGATAGGCTGGGTGCAGTGGCTTACACCTGTAGTCCCAGCATTTTGGGAGGCTAAGGCGGGCAAATCACTTGAGGTCAGGAGTTCAAGACCAGCCTGGCCAACATGGTGAAACCCCCTCTCTACTAAAAACACAAAAAATTAGCTGGGTGTGATGATCCATGCCTGTAATCCCAGCTACCAGGGAGACTGAAGCATGAGAAAAGCTTGAATCCAGGAGGCAGAGATTGCAGTAAACCTAGACCTTGCCACTGCATTCCAGCCTAGGCGACACAGCGAGATTGTCTCAAAAAATAAAATAAAATAAGTAACAATAATGAATGAACAAAGCTTCAAGATAAAGCCCTATTCCAGATAAAAGTCTGCAACTCTGGTAACAGTTATGAATTTTAAATGTTGAAAGACTGCCTAAAATAATCCCATCCCATCCCACATGCCCATATTCCCCAATTACAATCCAGAATAGAACATGTTGCTCTCTTCTTTTAGCTGCTGCCCTAACTCAGCTTGCGTGCCACCTTCTCACTCCTCAACCCAACCACAGTTTATTCTGGTTTAGAATTGAACAGCTCTTACTATATTGCATGATAAAGATAGGGAAATATCCCTCCTGGTGCCCTTTCTAAATTATCTCTTTCTTCCCTGCTATTTGCCTAATTCTGAGGTCAATTCCTCCACTTAGACTTGCATCTACTTGTTTCCCAAATCTTCTTCCTAGTCTTTTTCTTCTTTGGTTCTTGCAATGCTTATGACTAAATCTGCCAATATTTATCCTATTTCTTTTGTAACCAGTAAGTACTGCCCATTCCTTCACCTCCCTTTTTAACCCCTTTCTCTTTCCTGTGCTTCAGCTTCATCTTTTACTATCCCATTCAAACTGTCCTTAATTACCACAGATATTTTAAGTAAACCCAATCATCATTCTTTAGTTTTCAGAATTTTTCACTTCTAAATACAACTAAATTAACGGCTACACTGCAACAGTAGACTACCTTCTTCTCATGGTTCTCAACATCTCCTGGCTTTCCAGCCTGTTCTCCTGATTCTTGGTCTCCAAAACCAAATATCGCCATAAACTCACCTGCCTGGAAAGCCAATCACGCCTCTACTCCTCCCTTGTGGATTCCTCTTACTACCTCTGAGTACAAGAAAGGCAAATGTGTCCACCCTATCCATCTCCCAGCCTCTTACGTCTTTTCTGTGATCAGTTCACTGCATACTTCACAGAGACTCCACTAGATGTACCAGAGATAAAGACCAAACTCACTTTTCCCCAGAAGAACACCTCTTTCTAAATTAAGTCCTATATCCAAGAGTATGTCCATCTATTTGCTAGTGACTTAAAACTGTGATTCCTGCCGGGCGCAGGGCTCACACCTGTAATCCCAACATTTTGGGAGGCCGAGGTCGGCGAATCACAAGGTCAGGAGTTCGAGACTAACCTGGCCAACACGGTGAAACCCCATCTCTACTAAAGATGCGAAAAATTACCCAGGTGTGGTGGCACGTGCCTATAATCCCAGCTATTTGGTAGGCTGAGGCAGGAGAATCACTTGAACCCAGGAGGCAGAGGGATTACACGCCTGTAATCCCAGCTACTTGGTAGGCTGAGGCAGAAGAATCACTTGAACCCAGGAGGCGTGAGCCAGGATCACGCCATTGCCCACCAGCCTGGGTGACAGAGCGAGAGTCCATCTCAAAAAAAAAAACAAAACTGTGATTCCTTTGCCTACTCTTCCAGAAGTCATTCCCTAAAATCACACTAAAAAGGCCACTGCATCAGTGAGCAAAACAAGCAGCAATGGCAGTATTAACTTCCAATCATCACTATCCAGGCATCCAACCCATATTAAGAGCACCACCCACGGCTCCCAACCAAAATCCAGATCATTCAAAAAATGTCAAATAGTCTTCACCAGAAGAAAACTTTTCCTAAGCATCTGTAAGCATTTTCACTACAATCTGACATCAGAAAGGTACAGATAGATATTGAACTGATAAAATATAATACTGCATTTTAATTATAAGGCATTAACTTGACAACCTTACCTTTATACCTGTTAATCCTGTGGGCAACTGCACAATATCATATGCAAGGTTAGATTTTTCTGCCTCCACAAATGGATCAGAGAATGCTCGGCCATGGAATCTTTTAAATCCTTGGACTGTGTTCTTGGCATTCGAAATTACCTAAGAGAAAGAATATCAAAGAGTGGAAAAACTACTAATAATTTTTTTTTTTTCAACAGCCTCATATTAAATTAGCAACATTTTAACTTTATACAGTCTCCTTGGTTTCAGTTTCTTCAGACACTAAACTTTTCTAAATGGTGCCCACTAGCATGTGAAGTGAGGGATGAGGGATTTGCACGGGTCTCAGAGCGGCAGGGCTAAAAAACAGAGCCCTGCTCTTCCTATATCCCATGAAGTCAGGTCATTACACTTGTATAAGTATTTTCTGTTCTTAAACTTCTAGTAAACATTTACATAAAATAACTTGTAGCCTTTAAAAGTTGCCCACAGTTTATGGTTGAAAGTTTCCAGGAACCAACTCAGCAATACATAAATTGATTCAGAAATTCTAGTTAAGGCCGGGTGTCGTGGCTCACGCCTGTAATCCCAGCACTTTGAAAGAGGCCAGGGCCTCATTTGAGGTCAGGAGTACGAGACCAGCCTGACCAATATGGTGAAACACTGTCTCTACTAAAAATACAAAAAATTAGCCGGGCATAGTGGTGTGCACCTGTAATCCCAGCTATTCAGGAGGCTGAGGCATGAGAATCACTTGAACCTAGGAGGTGGAGGTTGTGCTGAGCTGAGACAGGGCCACTGCACTCTCAAAAAAAGAAAGAAAGAAAGAAAGAAGTTCCAGTGAAACAAATTTCTCATAAAAGAAAAAAATATACTAAGTACACAAAAATGAACACAAAAGGATATTGGGAGACTATTATTTGTAACAGCAGATGCCTAGAAACAACCTAAATGGTTAGTAACAGGTAAATGCTTAAATAAATTATAGTATATTCATACAATGAAATATATAATACGTAAAAGTTTTCAGAAGGTGGTAAGACAAATGTCTATATGATTTTCGAATAATGGTTGAACAAGTGATTTTCAAATTCCTTACACTTTTTTATCTATGTTTTCTAATTTCTCTAGAATAAGCTATCACAATTTATGAAGGGAAAATGCTGACAAAAACATTCAAAAAATTCCAGAATGACCATGACCTTCTGCTTAAGATTTACAGGCTCCTCCTCCCAATGTAGGAGATGTAAAAAGCTCCTGTATCCCCTAGATGAAAGGGAACACACAGAAGTCCTTTTGTGAAACAGATGAGGCCTCCCAAATCATGTCTTCCTTGAGTAAGCTGCCAAACAGAAACTCTGTAACACAATAACTGTATCAACCTAGAACTGGGCAGCCAGTTTAGTATAGTAACTGTTTCTCAATCATGAAAAGCAAGTTTAAAAAACAGGAGCCATCCACTCAAATTTCAGAAGGAAAGAGATATCAAAATGGTTCAATATTGTCTACCTGCTATCTCCTAAAAAATCTCTAACACTGTGAAAATGAACTATAAAACATCCAACTTAATTAAAACCAATTGGCCAAGTACCACTTTTTTAGGCTAATAAATTTTAAGCCCTGCCCCATTCAAAAACAGATTCACCCTATAGGGTTGCTCCAGGTTGAACCATAAGAAGGTCAAACATGAGCCGGGCGCGGTGGCTCAAGCCTGTAATCCCAGCACTTTGGGAGGCCGAGACGGGCGGATCACGAGGTCAGGAGATCGAGACCATCCTGGCTAACACGGTGAAACCCCGTCTCTACTAAAAAATACAAAAAACTAGCCGGGCGAGGTGGCGGGCGCCTGTAGTCCCAGCTACTCCGGAGGCTGAGGCAGGAGAATGGCGTGAACCCGGGAGGCGGAGCTTGCAGTGAGCTGAGATCCGGCCACTGCACTCCAGCCTGGTGACACAGCGAGACTCTTTACAGATATCTCAGACACTTAGAATACAGAACTCTTGGTGTTCTGCTGCTCTGGTTATTCAGAAATCAGCAACTACATCAGGTTCCTGGTTTACAGAGTAAACTAATGGCAAGTCCTTTGATGTATTTCTAGAGGTATGCTTTCCTTCCTTGAGAAACTTGATTAATAAGATCAACACTTACCTTATATATGAGTAAGATGAAAGGCCCAACAAGACAGACTTAAGGAGCATGTAAAATATCAAGGAACAAGCAAGCCTTGCTTAACAAGATCTGGACAAAATACACCCTGGCAGTTTGCATTAAACAGATTATACTGCTAATGCTATTTTAAGGCTATGTGCTTCTCACTGACGCAGTGGTCCCTGGGTATCTGCAGGGGATTGATTCCAGGGCACCCCTTGAATTAGACCAAAATCCACAGATGTTCAAGTCCCTACACAAAATGACACAGTATTGGCCTATAACCTATGCACATCCTCCTGTATACTTGAAGTTGTCTCTAGATTACTTATAACACATAATACAATGTAAATGCTATGTAAATAGTCGTTACACTGGATTGTTTTTATTTGTATTTTTTATTATTGCAGTGTTATATTTTTTCCCAAAAATATTTTTGATCCACAGTTGTTTGAATCTACAGATGCAGAACCCATGGAATTCTGAGGGCTGACTGTCCATGAGAACAGAGAACAGGTGTGTATGTCAGTTGTATACCCAGGGTCTACCAGTGCTAGGTACATAATAGGCATTCAACTACTTGCTGAACACATGGATGAACAGAAGAAATAAGTCAGTTTAGGAAAAAAAATGAAACTTTACCTGACTTTTAGCTGCTGCTCCAATTGAACGATTCTTAGGACCAAAAGAAATGCAAGCCCTGGAAGACAAAACACACACTTTAAGAACTAAATCTTACTGCAATGATAAATCCAAAAGCATAGCAGGCAAGATCTGAGTGTCAGCTAAAATGTCATATATTTTAATGGTACAAATCTACGATTTTGACCTTTCTATTGAGTAAATCTGTCCATGGAACGGGTTGCCTCTTACAACTGAGTCCTGTCATTTACATGCTGGAGCACAGGTCTGATGTGATAACTACCTGTAAGAGAGGTGGACTAGACAGTCTCTACCATTCTCTAATTATTTTTCAAGTCTCCTGTTCAAAATCCCAGTATAAAATAATGTACCCTCATATCAATGTATCAATTAACATTTTTAAGACAACTCATAACTTCACCAAGAATATAGTCTACAAACCCTGAAAACAACTCTCGGCCTATTAAATAAGTAAAAAAGTAATTTTTCCAAAACTAGTTTCCAGGCACTCAATTTTATTATTTTTTTAAGAGTCTCACTCTGTCGCCCAGGCAGGGCTGCAGTGGCCCTATCTCAGCTCACTGCAACCTCCACCTCCCAGGTTCAAGTGATTTTCTTGCCGCAGCCCCCCGAGTAGCTGGGATTACAGGCATGCACCATCACGCCCAGCTAATTTTTCTATTTTTAGTAGAGACGGAGTTTCACCACGTTGGTCAGACTAGTCTCGAACTCCTGACCTCAGATGATTCACCCATCTTGGACTCCCAAAATGCTGACATTTAGGCGTGAAACACTGTACCTGGCCAGGACTCAGAATTTCTGACAAGGAACTTCATCCCCACTTTTGAACATTCTTCTAAATCACCAATTCATACAATATCTCCTGATTTAATCTATTTACTGCTTCTTTTAGAAAGGCGAAACTGAAACCTGCTTGAAGGTTAAAAGAAAAAACGCCGTGCTTATGCTCAAAAAGCGCGGTGGCTCACGCCTGTAATCCCAGCACTTTGGGAGGCCAGGGCAGGCAGATCACGAGGTTAGGAGATCGAGACCATCCTGGCCAACATGGTGAAATCACATCTCTACTAAAAATACAAAAATTAGCTGGGCGTGGTGGCACGTGCCTGTAATCCCACCTACTCAGGAGGCTGAGGCAGGAGAATTACTTGAACCAAGGAGTCGGATGTTGCAGTGAGCCAAGATCGCACCACTGCACTCCAGCCTGGTGACACAGCGAGACTCTGTCTTAAAAAAAAAAAAAAGGCATTAATAAGTAAATTTTGGCCGGGCGCAGTGGGTCACACCTGTAATCCCAGCACTCTGAGGGGCCGAGGCAGGCGGGTCACCTGAGGTCAGGAGTTTGAGACCAGCCAGGCCAACACGGTGAAACCCTGTCTCTACTAAAAATACAAAAATTAGCTGGGCGTGGTGGCATGTGCCTGTAATCCCACCTACTCAGGAGGCTAAGGCAGGAGAATTGCTTGAACCGGGGAGTTGGGGGTTGCAGTGAGCCGAGACCACGCCACTGCACTCCAGCCTGGCAACAGAGTGAGACTCTGTCTCAAAAACAAAACAGACAAACAAAAAAAGGCATTAGTAAGTATAAGTCAATTTTGGCCAGGTGTGGTGGTTCATGCCTGTAATCCCAGCACTTCGGGGGGCCGAGGAGGGCAGATCACCTGAGGTCAGGAGTTCGAGACCAGCCAGGTCAACATGGCGAAATTACGTCTCTCTAAAAAGATCGCACCACTGCACTCCAGCCTGGGCAACAAGAGCAACACTCCATCTCAAAAACAAAACAAAACAAAAAAGCGTAAATTTGGCTGGGCGCAGTGGCTCAAGCCTGTAATCCCAAGATTTTGGGAGGCCAAGACAGGTGGATCACTTAAGTCCAGGAATTCAAGACCAACCTGAGCAACACGGTGAAACCCTGTCTCTATTAAAAAAAAAAAAAAAAACACACACACAAGGCTGGGCACGGCAGCTCACTCCTGTAATCCTAGCACTTTGGGAAGCCAAGGCAGGCGGATCATGAGGTCAGGAGATCAAGACCATTCTGGCTAACACAGTGAAACCCCGTCTCTACTAAAAATACAAAAAAATTAGCTGGGCATGGTGGCAGGCGCCTGTAGTCCCAGCTACTCGGGAGGCTGAGGCAGGAGAAGGGCGTGAGCCCAGGAAACGGAGCTTGCAGTGAGCCCAGATCTTGCCACTGCACTCCAGCCTGGGCGACACAGCGAGACTCCACCTCAAAAAAAAAAAAAAAAAAAAAAAACAAAACTTAGCTGGGCATGGTGGTGAGCACCTGTAGTCCCAGCTATGGCGGAGTCACAGGGTGGGGGTGGCTGAGGCAGGAGGATCACCTGAACCCAGGAGGCTGAGGCTGCAGCAATCTGTGATCATGCTATCGCACTCCAGCCTGGGAGACAGAGCGAGCAAGACCATAGTAAATAAATTTATCCAGGGTCATGCAATCTGAAAGCAATGAAGTCAGGACTGTAGGTGATGTCTAAAGCTTTGACTCTTATCCTCGCTGAACTCCTGATTCTTCCAAGTCAACAGAGTAAATAAGAGCTCTGGAACCATACTGCCTTGGTCCAAATCTGACTAAATTAGATGACCTATTAATTTGGCAGAAACATAAACTTAAGAGCCCTGTGGAAACTGGTAGAATGCTGGGCCTCCCTGGGCTTCAGTGGTCCTTTACAACCAATGGCGAAGAATCCCTGTGAGCCAATCTCCCAGGGCAGCTACAGGAAGCCACACCTTCTATTAAATGACAGGAAGAACAAACATGGTATACCCTAGGACCTCATCAGAATTCCTCCAAATCCTAAGCTTTTGGGCCTAGAAAGTGCTGTGAGTAGCCCCTCAAAAGCAAAGGTGTCAAGCTCTGCCTTTCTGCAACTATGTCACCAATCACTAAAACAAATAAAATCTGTTTTAGACACTAGATGCAAATAAACAAAATCCTCAGTACCAAGTAAATGTCACTCCTCTCAAAGCCTATATTGCCCCTTAGGAAATTGCCCAAGGCAATCTTACCCACTTCCTCCACCTCAAAAAGGCTGCCTAGCATAAGCCTAACAATTGGCACACCTCCATCTTTCTAAATACCACCAGATCTAAATTTCTAAGGTATATCCCACCATAACCCCAATCACAACATAATGAAACAGCAATGTTACTCATCTTCCATTGTTTCCTGCAGCCCTTTTTCAAACCTTTATCTCCTCAAAACAATTACATTTCCCAACTTTCCTGCAAATCCTGCTGTCGGGTTAATTTCCTATTCTACATCAGTAACTCTGAAACCATCTTGCTTCCAATTACCTTCCTAACAAAACCAACTACCAACAAACAAAAATCTATATTCTTTAATATGGAACCTAAGGCTTCTCCCAACCCAATCCCTTTTCCAGCTGTATTTCATCCACACAATCAACCCAAGTTGAATAAAGTATCCCAATCTTCCTGCTTTTATGTCACTTTTTACATCTGAAATGCCCAGTACCTTCATGTATTCTCTAGAAATGGCATCTATTTTGTCTGTAAAGCCTTCTCACCCCACCCTGACCCACAAATAAAAAGTAATAATTTGCTGGGCGCGGTGGCTCAAGCCCGTAATCCCAGCACTTAGGGAGGCCGAGGCGGGTGAATCACGAGGTCAGGAGATCGAGACCATTCTGGCTAACACGGTGAAACCCCATCTCTACTAAAAATACAAAAAATTAGTCGGGCATGGTTGCGGGCGCCTGCAGTCCCAGCTACTCAGGAGGCTGAGGCAGAAGAATGGTGTGAACTCAGGAGGTGGAGCTTGCAGTGAACGGGGATCACGTCACTGCACTCCAACCTGGGTGACAGAGCGAGACTCCGACTCAAAATAAAAAAAAAGAAAACATGCATGCATTGCATGTGAATGTATTGTTGTTTAATGAAGCTTTTCAGTTGTGTGTGCGTGTACCAGGTCTTAATGAAAAATGTAAAATCCGAAGTCTTCTGTTACAGATACATGCTGTCTAATGAAGCAGCCATTAGCCACATGTGGCTATTTAAATTTAAATTATTTAAAACTAAATAAAATTTAAAACTCAGTTCTTACAGTCAAGGTTGCAGTGTGCTATAATCACGCCACTGCACTCCAGTCAGAGTGACAGAGTGAGACCCTGTCCCAAAAAAAAAAAAAAAAAAAATACTGTTTCACCTACTGGAACTGAAACCCAGTCAGCTACCTTTAAAATTATCTATTGATGTGGGATTTAAAAAAAAAAAAAAAAGTACTACTTCCATTAAAAAAGGACAACTGAAAACAGTATGATCAATTTGCTGAATTGGGTCAATATGTAAAACAGCGCCAGGCGTGCTGGCTCACGCCTGTAATCCCAGCACTTTGAGAGGCCGAGGCAGGCAGATCATCTGAGGTCAGGAGTTTGAGACCAGCCTGGACAACATGGTGAAACCCGTCTCCACTAAAAATACAAAAATTAGCCAGGCATGGTGACGCGTGCCTGTAATTCCAGCTACTCAGGGGGCTGAGGCAGGAGAATCACTTGAACCCAGGAGGCAGAGGTTGCAGTGAACCAAGATTGTGCATTCCAGCCTGGGTGACAGAGTGAACTCCATCGCAAAAAAAAAAAAAGTAAAACAGCACAAATTGAAAGATTTTGAAAACTAAAAGCTTACATAAACCTAATATTTAAATGAGATGAATACTCAAAAATAATAACTTGAATATTAGCGCTAGCACTAGAACCTAATTCAATGCTTTTTAGTACAAGTTTACCGTAGAAAATTAGAAAAGTATGAAGAAAAAAAATAAAAACTATATATACTTCCACAACCCTCCCCCCACCACAGAGGGCCACTATTAACATTTAGGTAAATACTCCTATGTAATCCTAATAAATCTAGTAAGTCCTTAAAAAAAAAAAAAAAAGTAAAACTGATATACCACTATCAGTTTGCTTCTCCTCAATAAATGCTCTGAAAAGTCTTCAATGGCTGAGTTATTCCTTGAGGATTTTGACATGGAATAAGCATGACAAGAACATTCAAAGG